ATAACTTTCTATTATATACATGTATTGTGCAACTATCAATTGCAGGATAAAAAAAAACTGTTCTACTCGCAACTAACTGTTCTTCTTGTAATCAGTAAACAGGTATGTTGATACAGGATTTTAATTGGTTAGAAATTACTGAAGATGTTTTTTCATTGCCCAAGATATATATTAATCATCAAGTTCCATACAAATGTATAAGCATGTAGTGAAATATTTTCAACATTTCATTTCAAAAACATTTAAACCACCACATGTGGGATAGTAGCTTTAACAAAGTAGTTTAAACATAATTTTTTATCCCCCGCCGTAGGAGGGGGATATTGTTTTGGCGACATCGGTCCGTCCGAATTTCGTTTCCGCAATAGTTCTCTGCAACTACTGGCTGGAATTCAACGAAACTTCATGGGAATCATCAATATCAAGAGGAGATGCGCATATTGTCAGCTTGTTTAAGTCAGACTCTTCAACTCAGAGTTATGACCCTTGATAAGTTATGCATTATGCAGAAAGAACAAAATTATTTCAGTGCTACTTCTCTGCAACTACTGACTGGAATTCAACAAAACTTTATGGGAACCTTCAATACCAAGAGGAGATGTGCATATCGTCGCCTTGTTACAGTCAGACACTTACTCAGAGTTATGGCCCTTGATTAGTTATGCAGTATGCATATAGAGCAATAATCGTTTCCACGCTTCTTCTATGCAACTACTGGCTGGAATTCAACGAAACTTTATGGAAATCATCATTATCAAGAGGAGATGGGCATATCCTCCGCTTGTTCTAGTCAAACCTTTTAACTCGGAATTATGGCCCTTAATTAATTAGTTATACATTATGCTGATAGAGCAACAATCATTTCCGTGCTACTTCTCTGCAACTACTGGCTGGAATTCAACGAAACTTTATGGGAACCTTCAATATTAAGAGGAGATGAGCATATTTTCTTCTTGTTCTGATCAGACACTTTAACTCAGAGTTATGGCCCTTGATTAGTTATGCAGTATGCATATAGAGCAATAATTGTTTCCCCGCTACTTCTCTGCAACTGCTGGCTGGAATTCAATTAAACTTTATGGGAAACATTAATACCATGAGGAGATGTGCATAATTTGTTGCCTTGTTCAGACCAGACCCTTCATTACAGAGTTATGGCCCTTGATTAGTAGTATGCATATAAAGCAATATTGCTATATCTTTGCAACTGCTGTATTGATTTCCAACAAAACTGTATGGGAACCATCAATGCAAAAAGGCAATTTACATCTCATTGGCATGTCCAGAGATAACTATTTAACACAGAGTTATGGGTCTGTTATTGCCATGAATATTTTTCATGTACACAGAAAATAATACTGTTTACACCACGATAGATATATATAAATAAAGCTTTATGTTTTAAGTTATTGTGTTAGTAATAACCAGTACTTGGCGGGGATATAAATTCAACAAATTTGCTTGTTTCTTTGTAGCATTTACAATGTATATATAATGAAAATTTACTTAGAATCCACAGTATCTATTAGGTTGAGAATGGTTTTCTTACTGACTGAAATCACTCCATGGATGCTCACTTAGGTTTGACCCCTTAGGGTTCTCAATTGTTAAAATTTTGAAAAAAATCCAACATATACTTTATAGTTTGAGAGAAATACAGCGCAAGTAAAACTCAAAGTAACAGCCAGATTCCAATAAAACTTAACCCTTAGTAAATTGTTGGGTAGGGATCAGAAAAGAAAGTAAAACATGTATCCAGGTCGAGCCATTGAGATGACTTCTAATAAAAGAAGAAGAAAGAGTACACAACACAGATATTTAAAACAATTTATTTTTAAACACAACATTCCTCTATATTATATATAATATATCTGGAAGAAAGTTTAACTTGTCAGCAGCATATCCGAGGGGAATCAAGCTTAATTTAATACATTGTAAATAACAAAATGTAGTTTGTGTTTTCCTATGTACATATTTGTAAAATCAGTGACCAACAGGCAAGGGCATGTGGTATTAGAAAAGAAGATATACCGTAAATGTTATATTGAAAGTGACCTTCATAGTATTGCCAAAACTGACCAAAGGTAAATGATTTTTTTGGTCGACAAGGTAATAGTATGTATCGAACATATTATGGCTTTTTTTTTGTGCTGACAAGGTGATTTTTAAAGCATTTTTTTTCTTCTAATAAAATGTATTTCTAACTCCAATGATAAACAAAAGAAATTGTGCTAACAACAAAATGAGCCGCGTCACGACAAAACCAACATAATGGATTTGCGACCAGCATGGATCCAGACAAGCCTGCGCTTCCGCGCAGCCTGATCAGGATCTATGCTGTTCGCTTACCAACCCTATTACAAGTAGAGACTCTGATAGCGAACAGCATGGATCTTGATCAGACTGCGCGGATGCGCAGGCTGGTCTGGATCCATGCTGGTCGCAAACCCATTATGTTGGTTTTGTCGTGACGCGGCTCAAATATGTCTATCACAAATGCTTGCCTTTCAGTTAGCTATAGCTCATAAAAGTTTAATTCACATAAATATTTAAACCAAATGTATATTACATGTACTTAAAATTATATTATAATCTTAACAAAATTATAAATAAAAATTAAGTATAGGTAGTGAAATGTTTACAACAAATACATATGATATAACTACCGGTATTTTTCCTGATCAACCATTGCTAAAACTATAATGGCCCTGTACATTTGTGTAATTTATAAACTGTAATTTTGACATACAAAGAATGGCAGAAATGTTATGTCATCAATGTTTTTCAGTTAGAAAGGTAAACAAGTCTTGAATCCACAAAGGTTTTTATATAGAGTTGTTCCCCTTAGTAAAATAAATATTAGTTTTCAATAATTTGTGAAGATACCCATTTTTTGTGCAGAATCGATTTTTAATTGAAATTGTACAGTTTTCTTTCTTGTTAATGTACACCATGGGCCTTCTTATCAATAACATTATGCTAAATAAATATCAATTAGAATGCGATTTAGATAAAAAAGATGTTTTACAAGGCATCGAAATATAATTGTATGACATTATACCAAGTGCACCCCAGTTCATTACAATGAGATCTGTTTAAATGTCCATTCCATGTTAAAATTTTTAGAACCAAGTGTAGTATGAATTAAAATAATTTGGTTAATGTTCTATCTAGTAACCAGCTTGTCTTCTGCCATTATAATATATTCAATACATGTACTTTTAACATACAGAAAGAAAACATAGAATGTTTAAAGGAACTTAACCGAGGTTTTTGACACGGCGGAACTGAAAATAATTTTCTCAAGATAAGTGTTCCATTTGTTGTAGGGCTAGCCCAATAACTTGTGCAAAATTTCAGATAATTCGATCACTCTGTTGTTCCAGAATAATTGTTTTAATTGTGAAAAATGACCTAAAATTGAAAAGTGTTTCACTCAAAACGGATGAAAAATAGCAAAGAAATAAATTTTCAATTTATTTCCAAGTATAATAATTCTTAAATATACTTAGCATTTGTTTCTGTTCTAAGTGCCTCAATTCATCTATGTAAGAAAAACAAATTTTACACTTTACAACTTTTGTCCCTCAGTTGAGTTCCTTTAACCCTAAGTCTGCAGATAAGCCTTTGCCACTCGTATAAAGCCAGGCCAGCCTGTAAATATGTGCAGTCAGGCTTGTCTCTATACTGTTGCTAGCTCAATTTTTGTATTTTGATGGTATAATCCCTTAAAGCTTTGAATGGACTGTTCCAAATTCAAAGCTGGGCAAATCCATTATATAAATTCAGCAGATTAAGCTTATAAACAACCTTAAAATATGCAAATTTCAATAACTTGACCTTGACAGGCGAGGTCAATTAAAGGTCAAGGTCACATCTGAATTATTCAAAGCAAAGAATAAATATGTACAATGAAGTAAATAAAAAATAAAATAAAACTTAGAAGTATAAAAAAGGTAAAATATCAAATATGTAAAAGGTATCACAGGTGAATAAAAGGTTGATAAAAAGTGAGCATTTAAATCACAGGTAAATAAAAATATCACTAAATAAATGCACATTGGTGAGATAAACAGTAAAAGGTAAAAACTCAAAAGTAGATAATACTGCAGAAAAACACATTGATGTACATGTATATACATTTAAACAAACAAGAGGGTGTTCTACATCACTGTCATTACTTGTTTTGTATTTTTAATGGCAGATAATTCTTAAGACTTTTTTATATTAAATAGCATTAAACTGATCTGAATTTAAGTGATAAAACTATAATGCTGTGAATTTCTTTTTTTATTTGATCAATAATTTGTGATGTATTGTTAGCATGTTTAATTTTGATATTCACAGAACCCGTTGGAATCTAGTGCTGAGATTCTCATATGAGCAGGAATGCACTGAAACTTTCACATAAATATGTAAAATAAGTGACCAGTAGCCTCATATGCTTAGTTATCACACTTGTATGTTATTGTTTTTTTTATTACACAATAGACAGCTATATTTTACTCTGAGTCATTTTTTGGGTGAAAATTTTCAAAATAAGTACCGACCGAATTGCGAATAGTACAGACCATTATAAGACTGCATAGATTTGCCTGTGGATCTTAATGTGCACTGGTCGCAAGGGAGGAATCTATTGCTGCCAGCTGGATAAGTTTTCAATCAGCACGGTAAAGATAACCATAAATGAAGTTATAACAGGGATGTACTTAAGCCTCTAAACACAAAACACAGATGTGACACAAAATTATGGCAATTTTATGCCAGTTTGATGTAAAATATCAATTATCATTTTTCCTTTCATTTTTTAAACTTATCAGGGCATAATTGAACCACAGAAACTTTTAATATTATTGTATGTGTAATTTTTATTCCTGATCTGTATAAATGCACTTATTGTGTTGGTCTTTGGATTGTTAAGTTAAAATCCATCTTAAATTATTCTATGAAATGCAAAAATGTACACCAATCTGATATATTTCCACCAAACAATTCACACATGTAGTTTACAAAAGTTTCTACTAGAATATGTACATGTATAATATATATTAAGTATATAAATAATATAACAACAATAAAACATGATTGTCTACAAACAACTGAGCTACTTCAACATATAACAAAGTATAATCTGTAATTGCTGTACAAAATTCATTAATTTACTGTAAACAAAGTCAAATTTTCATTTATAAAAATTTTCAATAGAAAACTTAACTTCCATACTGAAATCTATCATAAGATAAATTAACCTGTCTGAGACACTAGTGAGTTCAAAGGTCAATAAAACATAATGACAAATGAATTATGTTACATTTGTATCATTGCCAAATCATTAAATATTCATTTCTTACTAACTTGCGTTCTAAACATATTTAACTATTTACTGTTACATGAAAAAAGACATGTAACCAAACTGAATAACAAGTATAATAGTCGTTCAATAGATTTTCAACAGGTTATATGGCCGTATATAAATGGTTGCTTTGAAATATTGCAAGCAACTGTTTATTTACTGCCATATAACCAGACATGATTATGTAAAACAAAATCTGACTAATCCACTATTATAGCAAGCTGTCCATAAAATTTCCTTGACTTGTACTTTTATTAAAAATAATATCATGTGCAAAGAGACAAAAAGTTATGCAATTTTATATGAACATGGTCAAAAATTATATGTATGCACAATTACTGGTAATTAGTAACTGGCACTCCTGATTGGCTAATAATTGAGATGGAAATAATAAAATTGACCAATGACAGAACTCTTATTTTCAGGCTATTTATAGTTAAGAATGGATTCAATCTATAATTAATCAATAAAGGAAAAGGCAACTCACGACAAATAAATACACCTTAATAACTTTTGGGATTTTAGTAAAAAATGTGTAACATGTAAATGATAATCAATGTTAACTTGTATTTCTCACAAAACAACAATCTACTGTCCATGACCTTTATCCTAGAGGTCATTAACTGTTTAAATACCCTTCTATTAAGCACATTTAACAAACAGCACTTAAATGAAGGCACTTTAAGAATGTAGTAAGTACTGATTAGATGAGGAGAATGATAATATAACACTCCAGATTGCTATGGTAAACATAAGCTCTGTAAACTGTATGTGTGAGGTCATATAATGCTAATGTTCCGCCAGGATCTTGAGGCAGTCGGCGTCTAGATACTCATTCAGGTTCTCTATAGTGTGTTTCCATAGATACTCCTGGTAGTCCTTATTCCTAGAAAATAAAACAAATTGCGGTTGTCGTTTTTTTACAAAATAAAGGATTAAGTCAACAAACTGGCATAGAATAACATCCGTTACTATGTATAAAGTTAAATCTAACAAACTGTTTTCATAAACTTTATAAAAGTTAATGGTATAATTATGTTATTTCCATAATCCATTATGGTTGATTCACAAGAGTAGTAAAATAGAAATGACTTGTTATTCAACACACATGAATATTGTACATAAACTAAATAAAATGTTCTGGAACAAAATATTATCATTTTAACCGTTTAGCAATTTTTTTGTGCATGTGCTATCAGCTCTTATGGAAATGCATATTTCTTTCAAAAGGGCTTTTTTTGGAATTTTGGAATTACAGTGAAAACATCAATAAAAGAATGAAACCTCTAGAAAACACATGCTACATGTCTATATGCAACCCTTGCATAAGCCTTTAAGCCAATGAACTTTGAAGAAGTGCAATACATCTCCTGTACTCAAATACTGTATTACAAACAGGGAAAAGTTGTGCAATTACAGTTCCAATTATTAGTTATGCAGATTTTATTGCAAATAAGAGAGCTGACAGAAAATATTAGTTAAACCAAAAATCGCAGCCACTTCTTTTCTGCATTTCAATATCAAACATTTTTACTGACCTTGCTTCCCTGCTAGGAAATCTTGCCTTGTCTCTAGGTCGCAGGAAGTAACCCCTACTTAGACCAGCTAGATGGGGGTCTAATGCAGCATATACTGTCGTCTCAGCTCCATCGGCATCTTGTTTCAGTTTCCCTAAAAATTGTAATGAACAACATACAATTACAACAATATGTTAACATAAAATCTGGTATTGTATTATGTGATGGAATCCGAATTGCTATTTAAAAGAGTGAACAGTGTGAAATATTAGTAGTTGAAATCAGAAAAATCACGTATTACAATTATTTCAGCGGCATTTTCTACAAATAGAATATGCATTTGTATCAATTTCAGTTAATATACAAGCAAAAGAAAACCACATTACAAGCAGTTTTTATACTACAGACAAATTGTTTAAACACATATATTCATAAAGTATTGTCTATGAATAAAACAATAGAAAAGTAAGGAAAAATATTAGAAAGTAATCAAGCCGGAATATAACGTATGTATGAAAATATGTGACAAATTGAAAACATTCTCTTGTAAAATACCGAAAAATCTTAAAAAAGTATAGCCTACTTTGGTATATAATAAATCTACAAGCAAAATAGCTGTGTAAATGTCCATGTTGTTTGAATATATATATAAGTAATTACAGCTGTTTCAAACTAGAAATGTGTCCATAGGACATGGGCGCCCCCACACGCCACTGTTCTGTCAATCTTCTGTCAAGGGCAATAACTCTAAAAATACTATATAAATCAACATGAAAATACCCAGGTGCACAACTACACATGCTGATTAACATTCCTGTTAAGTTTTATGACTCTAGGTCAAATTGTTTTTGAGTTACGTGCGACACAAGTTAAAAATTGAAAATTTTTACTAAGTCAAGGGCAATAACTCTAAAAATACTATATAAATCCACACGAAAATACCCAGGTGCACAACTTCACATGCTGATCAACATTCCTGTAAAGTTTCATGACTCTAGGTCAAATTTTTTTTTGAGTTACGTGCGACACAATTTGAAAATTGCAAACTTTTACTAAGTCAAGTGCAATTACTCTAAAAATATTGAATAAATCCACATGAAAATACCCAGGTGCACAACTGCACATGCTGATCAGCATTCCTATTAAGTTTTATGACTCTAGGTCAAATACTTTTTGAGTTACGTGCGACACAAAAGAGAACAGACGGATGGACAGACAGACAGAAGTCCGACCAAAATGGAATAAGGGGCCATTTCTTTGTTATTTTCTATTGTTTAATAGAGGGCCAATGGCCCCTTACTCTATTGTTACGGAATGAACTCTAAAAGATGGCCCCTTATCCCTATTCGGTAGTGCGGATGGACGGACAAGGGAAAATCTAAATGCCCCCCCCTAAAGTGGGGGCACAAAAAGGAGAAGGAGACCTGTGTATGTCCATGGGGCCATTTTTACCTGTGGGTTGGTACAACTTTCACTAACTCACTTCACCACAAATAAACTAATGGCGCAATTACTACAATCATGTGGTACTTTCAGGCAAAATGTCACAATTCAGAATTTACAAAACGATCTAAATCCAGAAAAAAATAGGTGATAATAAATTTAAGAGAAAGGTACTTGATTTATTAACAACCATGAATAGGGACAAATGCACTATGTCATATCTATTTTGTATTAATTAACAGCTTACCTGCATGCATATGATAATTAATGCCTTTATTTACTATGTTCAGACCATAAAATCTATAGATATTTTTACTATTTTGAATTGAGTTGATTTTTAAGGATTTCAGCTGTTTTTTAACTGATATCCAAATAATAGTGATTTTATACATATTTTCTTCTAGAACTGTTGTAGTACTAGTAATATCATTCTTATCAACACATTTTTTTTTAAAGCTAGGCATTATAAGTCAAAAGTCTTCAATGGTCAATGTCCTAAGTCAAAAAGTCAATGTCCTAGAAAAATGTCAGTGTAGAGGTTATCGAAACACTAACCATTCACTTTATGATCAATACTACCGGTATATCATTCAATATTGTTTTATAAAGGTTCAATATAATTATGATCATCACAGAAAAAAACAGACATATGATACAAACAAAACACAACTTCCACTCACTCTTTCCTAGTGGATATTGTAACTATTAAAGAAGCATGCCTCCAGATTGATGCTGACTGGTTGCATTGAGCAAAAGTCGCTTAACACATTATAGATATAAAGAGAAAAATTAATGATTGGGGGAAATTACAACGGTCGCTAAGGACAAAAGTCACTTAATATACATGGTCGCATTGGCAAGTTAGACTGTAGTCAAAAATACTGCAAAAAACGGTTGTTAATCTATCATAAGATGTTTAAATCATTACTTGATTTTTTTATTTTTCTTAAAATCTTTTTTCTCAGGTTTTATTCTTGAAATATTTTGGCTCATCTGGAGACATACAGCTTTTAAATAAAATCTAGTTAATTAAAATACTTCTTAATGCAAAATACAAATTTTCAAAGCAGATAAATGCAAACGAATTAACAAGAAAAATTTAATATCAAACTAGCTTTTTTTTTTCAAACACACTGCACAAATTACATTTATATTACCTCTAATAGCGGCTAAAGTTAAAAATAGCAAATTTTAATTTATATTACATGTATACATGTATGAAGCATAGTATGGTATAGACTTCTTATGAAGCATGGTATGGTATAGCCTTCTATGTTATATCATGATGTACATGCACATACTTACTTTTACCAACTAGCAAATAAAAATTCTTCACAATCATATATTATGTCAAACACACTTGAACAACAACTGTGAATCAACTAAATGCTGCATTTTATTGAAGTATAAATGTCTAAAACAGATGTTCCCATCTCATTGTTACTTTTAAATATATAATGCTTTAAACTTTAATAAAAATTCTAAAGGAATCCAGACACTAAACAATTAAGGCAAACCTCCCAATTAAAAGTAATGACGTCAAAGATTTAAAACAATTCAAATTTTAACCATTAAATTTTCATTTACTTCTATGAACATTATTCCTTTTCCAACCAACTCAATACTTCTTCATAATAACATAATCTGTTTTTTTATTCAACTTCAAGCTCTTCAATATAAAAGCATGCTGTATGTTAAACAAACAGCCATAGAAAGAACTAGTTATAAGTCTTTAAATGCTTGCAGTCATGAAGGCACCCCTACCCAACCAGTATAAAGCTAGGTCAGCCAACACATTTGTACAGTCTGACCTATATCTATACTGTCATCTGATTAACTTAAATTTATTGAAATCAAAATATCCCCTATATTAAGAACAGACTGTTCCAAATTCCAAGTAGGGCAAGTCCATTTAGCATGGCAAAGGTTAATAAAGCATTTCAAGTGCAGAAAGAAAGTTGTTCTAATTCTACACCTCAATTCTCAACATTTTCCATTTTCACAGAAAATCATCAGATTATAGACTCTATGGTTTTAATTTCAGAAATCAAAGGAATCTATACATGGAAATTTGTACAAAATAGGTATCATGTTAAACATTGTAACCTGTAGCTGTGCCTTTCTCTGTGTTCACCTGCATTTAACAATTTTTAATGAAAAGAAAATATGAATTTACATTTCAATATTTATACAAAATACTTTAAACAATACAACGTATTGAACAAGCTTTACCCATTATTCAATACACTTGTTATCATATATAGTAAGAAAATTGCCTCTTGACTTCAACTGATTATGAGAATCACATGTCTGATTACGAGTTTGTAGCCGCGGGCTCAAATATCATAAACATAATAAGCCTGCTGAACACGAGCATGTACAAAAACTGTAGCAATGACATCACATTTTATGTCATCATAACAACTTGCTGTAAAGTGAAAGTAGGTTTTAAGCACTGATAAGTAATCTCTTGATTTTATGATTACAACTTAAGCATAATTTGAATACAGTTTTATTGAAGTTTAAAAAAAACAGGGATTTCAATGACAGAAATATCAAAGTAATTAAAATTAATTCTACTAATTCTATCTATCAGGAGTATTTAAGACATAAATACACATCATAGATGGGCTGCAGAGTGACAATCATCCCTGAAATGAATAATGTCCTTACAATGAAGCCCTCAGACCATAATTCATACTGTGGGCCGATTATCACTTTCCAGCCCTACTCTTCCATGTATTAACCTTTTATTAAAGAACCACATTACATAATAATATTTATTCTTTAAAGTTACCATACTTTATTGTTTTAGTTGATATTTTTCAAAACTTCAAAGTTTTAAATGATTCAATTTGTAAACTTTATAGATTTTCATAAAAAAAGTAACACAAGCACAAAACATCCCAAAATTAACCATTCATTTCCAACAAAAAAGAAAGCCAGAAAAAAATATCACAAACTTTACAGCCCATACAAACAAATTCAAAGCACATACAATAAGATTGTGTGTTTAAAGCAAAACTGTCATTTCTACATGAAATTCATACTTATGCAGTATAACATTAGAAAGACAGTATGGCAATAAACCCACAAAGAGATTTTATATAATTTCTTACCACAGCATTTAAGACAACAAAAATGACAGTTGAACCCCTCGCCCGAATGAGGGTCGTTAGGGAAGGCGAGGGCGTCTAATTTGCCTCGGTCCACACACAATACGTCAACTTTAGGATGATGTTCAAGTATTTTGTCTAAACTGTACATCATCATTATCTGTAAAATAGAGAAACACACCTATGTGTTGTAAACCAAAAAGTTTATTGACTTAATATAATAAAGAAGTTTTTTATTTAATATAAGAAAGACTCATTTCAAAACACACAAAACACACATAACACGTACCTATTTCAGGTTAATGCTGAACTATGGGAAAACATCTTTTAACAGTGTTACTGTGACATTAAGCACAACTAATCATACCATTACATTAATGATGAAAGATTTTTTTTGCAACTTTCATCATCTACCATGGCCTATAACTTACTTGAAATAATTTACAATTAGCATATGCATCATAACCACTATAGTCCTTCATTTTACTGCTTGCAGCGTACTCCACGTCAAACACGGCATGCTGATGTATCTCACTCGTAATTATGACAATACGACATTCATTCCCTGCCTGACATATGAGGGGAAGAAAGTGGGATATCAACAGGAAGTGGGCAATATAGTTTACTTGATATGTCGCCTCCCATTTATCATCCGTAAACGCTGAAATAACAAAATAAACTGATTCAGTATCATATGTATATGCGAAAAGATAGATTGTTATTCTCAGATATTTTTCAAAACTCAAAACTTGACAACAATCAGCCTCATAACTCCTTCTTTATCCAAAACTAAATTATTTTTTACAATAAAAAAGCTAATAGTCTGCATACCCTATATATTTAACATGTTACTAGAGCCTTAATGTATGTTTTAAAAATGTCTGCCATGTGGTGTATCCTGAATTACTTATAATAACATTGCATCTCTGGTTGACACTTTTGGAAATGTTCATCTTTGTCATAAACAACAAAAGAAACAAATACATCATTGCATTAAAAGTATTTCAAATACAAAGACTTTTAACTGTAAAATTAACAAGACTATTAGTGTCTAAAAGCTACATGTATAGTATATGTAACTTTTAACAACTTGGCCTGCTTTGAATTTGGAATGGTTCATTTGTTTAGATGGGAGTTTTTTCATTTAAAAATGTACAAATTCAATAGCCAACAATACAAAGTCAAATCAAAGTACTGGGAAATGCATGTGATCCGGCCCTTAACTTGTGGCATATACCTGCAAATATCATTTAAAAGTATTTAAACAATTAATATTTGGACCTCAGTATGAGAATATAGTTCAATGTATCTGCTTTACATAGAGTTGCATAAGTCTCAGAACATGGCCATACATTTTCTCAGCATTACTTAAAATACTATATTAAATTCTTCATACTTAATATGACTTTTCTTTCTCTTTCACTATACTAACCTTCCTTTAAAGAATATGTACAAGCATTACATATAAGGACGTCACAAACAAGGCCTGTTGATTTAAACCATCCAATAAATTGCATGACAGATTTCAGTGAGGTGAGATCACAAACTTGGTACTGAACGTCTAGCTTCTCTTTCTCTAAGATACCATATAGGTCACCTTTACTCTTTCTTTCCTCATACTCTGCTTCCATCTTAGCTATTGCCTGAAATATACAAAATATTAACAGGCCTTTATTTCAACATTTTTGGAATACCAACATCATAAATTGTATGCATTATTTGCAAATTAGACAAATGAATATACAAAATCTTCAGAAATCTATCATCTTATCTGTCTGCTATTTACATTTTTGAAAATTACTTGATATATTATGACACTGCTTATTTTATTTTCATATATTAAAAGTAACTGAAATATATATAAGCTCAATTAGCAAGAAGAAAACGCAATGGCTGCTTTAGTGGTTAGCATACTAGCTCGGCAATCTAGCGACCCATGGTTCAATCCTGCCTCCAGCGTGCCGATACATGTATATGCAGTATAAAGATAGAGACAAAACAGATTAAAAGTATTTAGCTTCACATTTTTATAGAAAAAGAACCTTTTCTATTTTCTTGACTTTGGGCTTTCCTCAGAGGCAACTTTTTTAACTTATAAAATCATACAACAGCAAGTTCAACATACTTTTTTGGTTTAAATTTCAACAGATGAGAGGGAATTATAAGTACAGGTCATCCTGATCATTGCAGCAATAAAAATTAAATAGCATAGTTCTTCTATTTTATGCTGGCAGTCACCATAAATTATGCATTTATTGATAACAATTTGATCATACACAATATATTTGAAATATTAATGACTTATAATGGAAACAAGATCTGAATTGGAATGTAAATATTGTTTTATTGAAGGAAAATACATTATTGAACCTTATCATATGATAATAACAGAGAAAGGTTCAATATACTTGTACACATGCAACCCAGGCTATTGCCTCTTGAACAATTTAGAAAGAATAACAACAAAATAACCCTGGTTTGTTCATTTTTCAATTTGATTAAATACTAAAATATTGTTTGAATCCAGCTATCTTACTCATGATATTATTTATGCTCGGCCTCTGGCTTTATTCAAATAATGTCCCTCATCCTTCACAAAATGGGCATTTTATGCCATTTAAGTGTGAAAGTACCTATATTAACAGACCTCCTGACAACAAAGAACCTGTGTTTCCTTTTTCAAATAAAAAAAACTTATTTTTACCAATTTAACACTATTAAAATTATAATGTAAACATAACATAATCTATGCTTTGATGTTTGCATATTGATTGAATAAACAAATAAAACATAACTGGTTCTCAAATTAAATGCACATGCTTTGTTCACACTGCTTTAATTTAATGGTCCAATGAAAATTGACCTATTTTACAATAATATCTTGTTTTCAATCTATATACATGTCCATGAACTGCATATTTTTTTTCTTTTCCCATTGTAAAACTTTGTTCCCGGAGCCCATCATGCAATCTATTTTATTTGCAGTGGCAAGAGCTTGTACAGGAAGACAAATAATTGTTTTGTGTTTATATGAAAATACCAATAACTTGTCTGGTACAGTATGGATTAAATTATCAGGAAATTAACAGAAAAATCAAAACAAAACTGCCCTGATGGATATTCTAAAAAAAATCATTTAATTTCTTCTTTTTTGTCTAAATCTATAACAAGCAGAGCAAATTGTATAAAATGATAAGTAATAAAAGCAAAAAAATAATTTCTTACTTTATTTCAATTGTTACTGATAATAAAAGAAAAACTCAATTAACGCTGTGCTTAAGAAATCAATTTAATCATTTTACACTTAGAAAAAAGTCTATAGTAATAGTAGAACATGTACAAGTATATTAATCATATTCATTAATCTAAATAATGACCTCCCAACTTTATATTATAACTAAGTGAAACCATACACTATCTCTGTCCTTAATTACAGACACAAGTGGGAAACTATAAGCTGCCTGAATTAATTCCCCATCACTTTTTTAAAGCCTAATGCCTTCAGAATAAGGTGCTAAAAATTTCAATCTTAAAGGCCCATTATGACCAAGAATTGTTTTTATTTTCATTTCTCAAAAGCACCCAAAATATTACTCCTTGGCCAATTTCCTGAACCATCTTTTGCTTTTGTTGCTTTTTGGCAGCAATTTAAGCAATAATGATTTCAGTAATTTGACTTATGTACAAATTGCTTTATTAGTCGCCGGTAGAAACCGGCGACTATATTTGTAACTTTTACTTTTTTTCTAAGTGTCAAGCGTTGCTATTTTATGATTGATAAATCATGAATGATATTTGAAACGACACATTTAAATTATTTGGTTGTTTACATCTTATGAGACCTGTTATATTTCATAATTTTGTCTAATTATAAACAGATTCTCCCTGTTCTATTGTAAGAATCACGTGACTACACATTGTATGTTAGTGTTATAGAATCTATTAATAGTAACAGATTGCTGATAAGATATACAAGTTACTTGTGATTAGTTGGTTAGATGTAATGTATAAATAATTACAAAGTTATCTTTCATTAATCAGTTTCATATTTTATAGTATTAGAAAGGTCTGTATACAATGTACTCATAATTTGCACATCAAAGAATTAAATAAGTTTTCAAAACCTTTTTATTTTTTCTTGGTAAAGGGTTAAACGTTTCTGTCAACGTTCAATAGTTTAGTTTAGGTTGAACATCACAAAATAGATTTATGCGAAAGAGGCACATTTATTGAAATAGTGGTAATCGTCGTTTTCGTTATACTACACATGTATTGCATTTACTAATATCCGGAAAGAGTAATTTATTATCAGTAACATTTTTTGTTAATCGATTTATGTGATATCTAAACTTTAGAAACACTCTCTTTATTTATGTAACTTGTATATAATTATGTGTTTTAACTATGTCATTGTTGTCACAAATGTATTTATATATTGGTTGATGTCGATGTGCTGTATATGCATAAGACTGAATAAATTTTCTGTTCTGTTCTGTTCTGTTATATTCCGTCGATTTCCGTCGCGCAGGTTACCAAAACGGTATGACGGATGAATTAGATACATAATAAAGAAAACTAATAAAATATCTTTTTGTTAATATTTTATCGAACTGAAAGGCAAGTAAACGTTTACTATATCGTATGTAATGACAAGAATATTGATTTCAACTAAATAATTCATTTTTTGATAGCGCAAAAAGAAATACGCAGATACCACTTTTACGGTAGTATGACTAGTATCGCATTGTTTCATGCAATAATTAAAACATATATATTTTCAAATATTATATGGCCGTTGATTATTTGGTGTATCGGATTCTGAACTATACAAAACGGATTTCGATGTCTGGTAGAACGGTATATGTATAAGATAGAATTACAAGTAGAATTACGAGAATATCACTCGCATTACAAAATTAATCAAAATAAAGAAATAAAAAAATGCTAGAAATGAAACACGATTTATCAACTTATGTTTCATATAGTTAACAGAAATAATAAAAAAGATAGTTTTATGAAAACTGCAAAAGGGATTTTCAAAGATTCGAACTTGACCTAATAGGTCACAACTTCGTCCTACTTACCGCCTGTACGCCATCGAGCAATATTAATTGATTTAATATCGAGATCTATACTATCAATAAAATCTTTAGCATAAATCATAATAAGTTACATAAACTAACGAAACACCTCCCGGAAATTAATGAGTCTCAGGTCAATATTGCCAGACAATACTTGCTTATTTAATAATCATAGCAGTTCCTTGAAAATATTGCTAAGCAAGTTTGCTTTACATATGATGTTTTATTGTGAATAAACAATTACACAACATGTTGTTCCTCTTTTCTTTATACTTGAACTGATATTTTATTATATTTATGATAATACAGTCTTTTTCTTTCCGGCGACTTGATGCTTTAGCATCAAAATCTCTACTTGTCCTTATTGGAGAGGTCATCAGACCTCTCCACAGTGTTCAGACTGATTGCTGGCGACATCCATTTATGCGTATCTGATTGTAGTGAATGAGTTTCATTTAAATCGTAAAATCATTGGGAGCAGTCTACAAAAATTGTTATGCGCATGCTCCCCTTCAAAATACGACTTAACTTAAACGAAAAATTAACATCGAAGTGAACAAATCGGTACAAAGAAAAATCGGAAAATATAATTTACGTTACTTAGCGCTCTGTGGATGTTTCATTCCGTTTTAATCTTTTAAACTGTATAAATCGATTACCGTATTGTTTTCTGAATAGCGTTTTACTATTTCATGTTCTGACAAGTAGAGATTTTGATGCTAAAGCATCAAGTCGCCGGATAGAAATATGATTGCATTATCATAATAAATAAAAGAAAATATCAGTTTAATTGTTCGAGTATAAAGAAAAGAAGAACAATAAGTTGAGTAATGTTTATTCAGAAACACGTTTTCACGTACTTGCCACAATTATATCTTTCTTGCTATAAACTTTGTAAAAGAGTTTTATGCAATAGATTCATGTTATGTTATAATAAAACATCATATTTGAAGCAAACTTGCTGAGCAATTTTGTGAAGAAACTGTTATCATTATTAAATAAGGAAGTACTGTTTGGCAATATTTACCCGAGACTCAATAATTTTCGGGATCTGTTTCGTTAGCTTACATAACTTATTATGAATAATGTTTAATCGTGTGTTTTATTTATAGCACTTTTTTATTTCATAATTTTGAGAAATGGTCAAGTTTTGCAAAATACAAAAAGTATTATAAAAGAAAACATAAAAAAATCACTTTATCGAACCTACAGTCTTCAATTTGAAACTAACTTAAAATCTAACACCTTGTCATCGAGGCTTGTAAAGCAAGTGATATGATTATAATTCTACTTGTAATTCTACTTCATACATATACCGTTGTACCATACTGAATCCCATAATTACCAACAAATTATTACTGATCATCGAATATTTGCAAAGTGACTATGAAAATATATATGCTTAATTATTGCATAAAACAATGCAATTCCACTATAAAAGTGGTGTCTGCATTAAAAAAATATTCTTATGCACTATCGAAAAAATATATTATTTAGCTGATCGTTACTATATAGTTAACGTTTAATTGCCTTCCAGTGCGATAAACTATCAACACAAAGATAGTTTATTAGTTTTCTCTGTGTATATATCCAATACGATTCCGGGCCCCTCCTGTCATACACAAAATTCTTCTTCTTCTTCCAATACTGTACATAACCCACTCTGGGGCATTGACGTACAGGGTTACTTTGATTTGCACTTTTATCAGCTGCAAACCATTCACAGGTTACCTGTAGCCATTGGTTACTATTAATAGATTTTATAACGGTAACATACAACGTGTAGTCACGTGATTCTGGGAGAAGCTGTCTATGATAAATAAGATAAAAAAGAATAGAATAGGTCTCATAACGTAAAAACAACCAGATAATTTAAAAAGTGTCATTTCAAATATCATGCATGATTTATTTATCATAAAATAGCAACACTTGACACTTTGAAAAAAAGGAAAAACATCCCTAAATTCAATGACTTATCCATAGGGATACGTCATTAATTCAATTTATAAAAATTGTAATGTTGCTTTTTACGATGTCAATATTTGAATATTTCATTTCATTGAGCAAGATTATTGTATGTTTGAATTTTTGAGATTACTGAAAACAATTGTAGTCTTTAATTGTTCAGTAATTGTTGTGCTTTTATTTCCAGATTTTAATGCCTGCTCCTACCATAGGTATAATATTAAACTGTTACAAATATAGTCGCCGGTTTCTACCGGCGACTAATAAATAGTAACTGAATATTATAGCTACAATATCACCATGCACTATTATATGACCGAGTGAACCGTGTACCAAAATTTTGCTGCTCCTTTAACTTTTGAACCGATATGACTAAATTGCGCAACGATTTTTTGGCGCAAATGGCACAAATTCTACTCAAGTTTGATTTTCTTCAACACAAATATTGTGGTTGGAGGCATGCAGCTTTATATACTGTTTATTCCAATCCAATCAACGCACATTTTCTTTATGTAAATCTGAGACTTAAAAGTGTTTGATTAACATACTTTATGCCCGTTTTGGAAAATGTAGAGGAAATGTTTCCATATACTTACCAAAATTTATTTACCGAAAATTTGCTTATTGAATTTTACAAGAAACTTTAATTTTGATACTACTTTTAATATATACATCATTTATTTTAAATTTAGTTTGATGACATAACATAAATTGTTCCCTTTGTAGAAGAAGTATCCCCACTTTGTAAAAGAAGTATCCCCAATGCGCAAAGAAAAAAGTCCATTTCTCTGGCAAATCTTTCACAAAAATGAAGTGTAAAACAAAATTTCATTATGATACTATTTTCAATATAAATAATAAATTCTATTTTGTTACATAATTGTAATTTAAAACCATTCATTGTGCCTTTCACATAAAAATATTTCCAAATAATTTCGAATTAAACAAATCTTCAACAGCTGCAAAAAGACCTCTCGCATGCTTCTTTTCAAAGAAGCAAACTTGTATAAAGTATCCTTATATAAATTAACTTTGCCTTCATTTTACGACATGTAAGACAAATAATTTCATATCAGCGACAAACAAGCTTTTATTGCAACTTTCTGTAGATAATAATAATAAGTGCTATACACTATGGTAGGTACCACCAACAACAATGTTTACTAATTTGAACAATTTTTATGTTTTCATTTGAATCTTAGACTATCTGGTCATGATAATTATTATTATAATATTGTTATAATTTGTCAAAGCAGACACACCCTCCTCTATAATGTGTATTACTGATAATTATGACAAGGGTATTATAGTGTCAGTAGTAATCAGTGTAAATTAGAGAAAAATAAGCCAACCAGCTTGACATTTTAACAGTCCTTTCGTGTTTAAATGGTCTTACCATGATTTTATGAAAATTTAACTATGAAAATTCTTTAAAATAACAGCATAGATAAATGAATTAAAATTATTACGCTTATTGATCAAACAGCTGTCAATTTGAACTCAATATAAGACTGCTTATCTTGTTGGTAGTTTGTTGCTTGTTCCCCAGTCTGAATGGAAGTCAGTGTCCATAAAGAAATTCTTTTTGTCATTAAGCTCTTTTCACAAAAAGTTTCTTTGATTGGTTTATTTCAATTATCTATTAAGTTATATACTGATGAAGAATGTGTTTCTGATGAAGAATGTGTTTCTGATATAATGGAATGTTAATAAAGAAGGGAAAGCTGTATGCTTAAGATAATCTATGCACAGTATGCAGCCATTAACTAATGTTTACTGTGTATTCTTACTCATTAACAAAACTACTTCCTGTTGGTTCTATCAATGTGAGGAAGATTAGTAACTAAGTATCCAGCTTAGCTAAGGTCAGTTGTTTCACATTATGCACACCTGTGTGGCACCTGTGAATACCTTCATCAGTATAGTTCTTACCTTTAACCAGCTGGATTTACCCAGCTTTGAATTTGGAACAGACTGTTTAAATGTTAAAAGTTTTCAATTTAAAAAAAAAAACAAAAATTGAGCTACAAACAGTATAGAACCTGTGTTTGCAGTGTGACCTAGCTATATCTTGGTGGCAGAGGCTAATCACTTTCTTTTTCCAGCAGTTTAAGGGTTAATAGAACAATTCTAATATTATATGAACAATTCAAATAACAACCAACTATACATAGCCTTGAAATTGATAAAAAGCTATAACTAACAAGAAATACATAGATTTTTTCATAAGAATATAATTATGTACTTCTAGATAATTGTTTCTTCGCAATACTGTATTTTCAATTTCACAGAAAATGTTGAACTTATTTTCTAAAATCAATACAAAACAATAGCCTTGTTGATAATTTATTCAAGATCACATAAAAGGCAGCTAAATTGATGCAGTACATAAAACACCAAGCTGATGGCTGATATAAAGTGGAGCTACTATAAGAAGCAGCAAAAAACTTACCGGTACCTACAAATTGAGCTTATATACTATGACCTTTGTAGACATGTCAATATAAAATAACTTACAGATTTCCCCCTTTCCTCTGTCCTCACAGCTAGTATTACATTCCCACCCATCATTGCAATATTCTTGGCTGTTTCGTACCCAATACCTGAAATTCAATTAAAACCAAAAAATATCAAAACGCTGTCAAATGGACAGTGAATAAAACAAAGGTATATAATTCACAAAGGGGAATAACTCAGGGAAATCAATGCTAGAGTTATGTAACATGAGCACAGACATGTGTGATATACATGTATTTTAAACAAATTCGTTTAGCAATTTTGGAGATAAAACTTGCATGCAGAAATATTCTAAATTTATAAGGGGAGTACCTGTAATTAGGTAAAGATCATTGCTAGAGTTATGTGTCTTGCTTAGTGACTTACATGTATAATCATAACATTATTAATATACAATGTATGAAGATTTATTTGAATACATGTATCTTCAGTACTTATTGTCAGCAACTAAACTACCCATGCAACCAGAGCAAACCAAGATTTGCACCATCTGATCATGGTCCGCACTGTTCTCTCTCCATCAATACCAGTACATATATTGAAATTTTCCCTTAGAAGTAATGAATGGTTATGTCCAGATTGAAAGACAGACAAGTCCATTTAAGATATTTAGTGTGACAAGGATTAATGTGATATAAAGTCCTGGTACAAATAAAAAAACAAACTTTTAAGTGTTGACAAGTAGGAAGCCTTACTATTCTCCAAATAGACAAACTAAAAAGCTACCAAAACATACTAAAATACATAGAACTAACCAAAAATCAGTTAATTTAAAGTGTAAAACTTAACAACTAAAAGGATTTTTCGCTAAGAAAACATTTCAGTCTCAGCATATCTTAATTTACTTCAACTTGATTGTGGACGAAATCCATACAACTTGAAGCACAAACTTCCAAGATCTAACTTGTACCTGTCTGGTTTGCTAAAATATTGCTGTGATACAAATAGGACTCAAACATAATGATCCCTGGCTTGAGAGGTGGACAAATCTATGACAAGACCAATATACCCCCTTATTAATATTCTCAATATGTTACATGATAAATCTCATAACCAAAGCTATTTACAATAACAAAATCATAACCAAAACCATTTACCAGAATAACACAATAACAATTAATATGCAGTCAATTAAGAAATGTCAATTAGATACAACCTGGGAAAGATACAAGCACAAGATATATGAATTGCATGACTTATTCTTTTAATGTATAATATTATAACACATGTTTACCCTATTTCAGTACTATAGTGGCAATATACTGAAAGGCCTATGATACAGAAAAAATATATATGAGAACTAGAAATGTGTCATCATGCCACGGATGCCCCCGCATGCAGCCAAAATTTCAGATGTTATAATATTTAGTTCCAAATTTGTTTGCACAAATTATTGTTTTCATTTTAAATTCAAAGCCCTTAAAACTTTTCAATGTTAACACAAACCATTTTCATTCAATGTTCAAGGCACTGAAATTATTCAGTCTTAACCTTTTGAAAATAGCATATTTCATATTTGTAGCCAAAATAATGGCTACATACATTTCCACAAAAGTATGAGTGCTGAAACTGAAAGTTCAAAATTTTTCCAATATTCAAGAAAGATAAGTTTGTCCAAAATCATTGAACCGTGACCAAATTCAAACTTAAACTGCCTATTCCTATAATGTATCTATATTTATATTTTCAAAGTGAAAGGGACATAACTCTGCCAAAAAATCATCGAACCATGACCAAATTCCAACTTGACTTGCCCATTCCTTTGACATATCCATATGTCAAATTTGAGTTGAATATGTAACACTGTTGGGTAGATAATGAACAGAAACTGTAAATTTCATATTATTTTCAAAGTGAAAAGGGCATAACTCTGCCAAAAATTATTGAACCATGACCAAATTCGAACTTGACCTGGGCATTCCAAAAAAATATCCATATGTCAAATTTGAGTTGAATGTGTTGTACTGTAAACAGAAACTGAAAATTTCATATTATTTTCAAAGTAAAAGGAGCATAACTCTGCCAAAAATCATCGAACCATGACCAAATTCAAACTTGACCTGTATTTTCTCATGACATATCCATATGTCAAATTTGAGTTGAATGTGTTGTACCGTTGGGGAGATAATGAACGGAAACTGAAAATTTCATATTATTTTCAAAGTAAAAGGGGCATAACTCTGCCAAAAATCATCGAACCATGACCAAATTTGAACTTGACCTGTATTTTCTCATGACATATCCATATTTTAAATTTGAGTTGAATGTGTTGTACCGTTGGGGAGATAATGAACGGAAACTGAAAATTTCATATTATTTTCAAAGTAAAAGGGGCATAACACTGCCAAAAATCGTTGAACCATGACCAAATTCGAACTTGACCTGTATTTTCTAATGACATATCCATATGTCAAATTTGAGTTGAATGTGTTGTACCGTTGGGGAGATAATGAACGGAAACTGAAAATTTCATATTATTTTCAAAGTAAAAGGGACATAACTCTGCCAAAAATCATCGAACCATGACCAAATTCGAACTTGACCTGTATTTTCTAATGACATATCCATATGTCAAATTTGAGTTGAATGTGTTGTACCGTTGGGGAGATAATGAACGGAAACTGAAAATTTCATATTATTTTCAAAGTAAAAGGGGCATAACTCTGCCAAAAATCATCGAACCATGACCAAATTCGAACTTGACCTGTATTTTCTAATGACATATCCATATGTCAAATTTGAGTTGAATATGTGCAACCGTTACTAAGATAATGCACGGAAACTGATGATGACGGAATGACGGAAGGACGGAATGACGGAAGGACGGAACAGGGTAACACTATATGCCCCGGCCATTACATGGCGGGGGCATAAAAAATTAATTCTACTTATATATTAAACAGAAGCCTTTAAAGGCAATTTTCTTGTCAAGACCAGCAGAGTATACATTATGTCCTTATTAAATTCTCACCTATTTACTGACACTAACACTTAAAAATTACTTTTAAAAATAAACCATTCTTGACTTTACAAAAATAATTTTTAACCTCTGTGTGTGTGTTTTTTTTATAATACTTTCAATAATATCAAAGTTCAGAATGTAAAAAGTGTAGATTTTCAAACAGAAATATTTTTCTTACATACAATTGTTCTCTATTTATATTTCAGTCAATGTCATATTAAGATTAAAGATTAAACCATTCCTGTTTATGATCTATTGATCACATAATCCTAGTTGCATTTAATCAATGACCTGAAGGACTTAATGGTAAAGTTTTAACCGACATAATCAATTATCTAATTGTCTCAATCATAATATTTTGCTTACTTTAGCACATCTGTTATAAAACCTCTTACAGATCTCAATATTTGAATACTTTACAGTTATACTTCTTCTTGTCAAATAATAAAACAAGTTCAAAATGTATTCTGAAAGGTCAATTCAATTAATTAGTAAACATATTGATGTACAATTGGGTTCAAGTCTCCAAGGAATTACCATCATCATTCTTAATTAATTGCTTAACAAAAATAAATTGAAGTTATTTTTCACCTTATATAACAGAGGCCTATGAAAGGCCTCTTCAAAATAGAAATTTACTTTAAAATCATCCAGTTTTCCCAAAAACCTGAACTTAGCTCTGAACTTTTATTTTCCAAATTAGCAATTTTAGTGATAGTTTCCCCCCAAAAATCAAATTTCTTCCCAATTTAGTGAGAGAAAAAAAAACCCATTGAATTGGTCATAACTATTTAATACATTAGCATCTCAAGTTTTACTATATATGTACTTCAAAACTTTTACTAGTATTGTAATAATACTTATTGTTCTCTAATATCTTTTCCCCCACCTACCTCCATACCCTATATTACATCTACCCCTTAACTTATAAATATGGGACAGAATATTCTTCAGAATTCATGCTTTAATAGCTTTGAATATGATAAAACTGAAAGTGAGAAAATAAATTATTCAGTTCTGGTTTTAACATTGGGAAAGGTCATTGATTTACATGAGTTTTCGGAATTAATAATTCTATATAACAGACAAACCAATGACAAAACTTGTAGCTGCTACAGGTAAGTACGAACAAGAGATGCCAATTTGGCACTTGTCCCAGTAATATCATGCAGCCATTCTCCTAATGAACAACAAAAACTTGACCAGAGTTACAACAACAACAACAGAATGTCTGAAGCAATAACATTGTTGTGGCTACTGCTACATATTATATGTTAATACAAACCGTCAAACAAATTTGATTATCTTGATCAAATTCACAGCTGTCTTCCTGTCTGTGTTTTTTTTTTTTAAGAAAAAAAAGACAGTTCCATGAAGACATTGTTTATGCCTTTTTTTATTTCTTTCCACCTATTATCTGACATTGACTGAGAAAAAAATGTTTGATACTGTTGCATATACAATGAAGCATAAATTTTTGCCCTTTTTTTCTTTTCTTAAAATCCCCTCAATTTTCGAATTTAGTTAAGCTGCCAATAGCAGGGAAACCCTTTAAACAATAAACAATAGAGACCTTTAACAATATATACTTTTAAAATTTGCTTCTTGCTAAATAAAATATATAGTACTTGACATCAAGAGTATTGTTATTCACCTTGTTCTTCTAAAGGACATGGATCTTCCCTACCCAAGGGTCCCTTCCCCTATTGTAATTCCCTAGAAGCTGAATTTATAGGGCCCTGGGTATATCAAGATTAAAATATACCAACAGAATTCAAACTAAAAATCCTGACATCCTTCAAAACAAACACATTGAAGATAAAATTCTTAATCTAATTAATATTAGACCATGTGATTGATACAATGCATGGAAACAGAAAAGAATGTACATCAAACTGTTTTCATTATCAGACACTCTTGTAGCTGGTTTGAAGCATATTCTTACATTTATATAGCACATTCATTACTCTCACATTTATCTATTAATTAATAATTAGTGCCAATGAGTCATATGTTACCTAAATTATATAATGTAAGTTCAAGGCTAAATTTTATTACTTTTTTAGCACTCACTTTGCAATAAATCAAATACACCACATTTTCCAAATACACCTCCTAAAAAAACATCTCTTTTATAGACTCTTTAATATCATTTAAACAATATTGGATGGGGTTGGGGGAGGGGGCCTATTTACATGTATCTAAACAATTATTGTTATAACTGTTAGTGAATATCAAAATAAGGTATGTTTAGCTTGTTTTTGTTTGATTTTTTTTTTGTCATGCAAGTTTTCAAATTAGTGTAAAACTAACTATTATAATATATTTATTTTTAAAAAGGGAATAAAAAATACTGTTGTAACATAAATTCTGGGACTTTGATATGGGAAAGTGGCCTATTATTATCACAATTCATAGATAACCATATTTTTGGTAAAACATGTATTTCATTTAGTCACTTCACCCAGCTACAAAAGGAAGTATTTACAAATAAATCACATCCAATTTGGCAAAAGCAGAGAGGTATTAATATATACATCTACCTTCCTGGCAAAACTTGGAAAGTATCCCTTTGAAAACTTGAACCCAATTAAAGAGGATTCACAAATTTTACTTAGCTGTGAAATGACATGATATAAATATGTTCTCTGTCTTAGGCCTAAACTGAAATATTGTTTGTTTCCCCCCCCCCCCACTGCATACTCACTGCTACCAAAAATATATATATATATTTTTACTTAACATTGAAGCAGAGATTGTCAATGAGAATCACATCTTTATAAAACTGAAATATGGTTGTATAATCTTTAAACAGATGCTAAACATTTAAAACTTGTTTTGAACTCCATATAATTTTGATAGGTAAAAAAAAAATATTTTGGATAAAAAAAAATTTCATTGATCAACAAATGTACCATACCCAAACTGGCATAGGTCACAGGAGGCAAAATGATGAGTCATGGGATGCAAAACAAAGATAATTTTAAGGCTTGCCTTTTGGCAATACATATAATTATTACAAGATGATTATAGGACAACTTTATATATATATTTACCTGTATTTCCCCCTGTGATAATAATATTCTTGCCAACTGGCAATGGGGAAATGGCATGACTGGCTGATCCTCCCATTTTTTCACTGTTTTTTTATCTAGATTTTTTCTTAAATGTCAGTCTTTCTATATTTTTTATCAGCTGATAGCCAAGTCACACAGGTAGTTGTAACTTTTATGCATTAGACAGCCATGCTGGACTTCTCTAGATAGCACCTGGAAGATATTGACAGTTTGTGACATTGTTTGAATATCAATGCTTGTCAGAAAGAAATCCAATTGCACAATAATACATTTACATCACTCAACCTTGCATTTCTTTTTTATAATTTTATTATTGATAAAATATCACATAATGTCCCAAATTTAACATAATCATCCGCTGAATTCATAGTTCTTCCATGTTAGTTGCAATTAACATATTTTTCATATGTACAGAGTGGTCGGATCATCGCACAGCGTGACCAATGCTTGGAACAAACATTATGATTGAAAGAGTATCATACTAACTAAAATTCATTAAACAATGGTCATTAAATTTTTTATTTATTTTTTTCGTATTTGTTTAAAACGTTAATGAATTTTACAAACATTTTTTTATCTTCACAAAGTCCAATAATATGGCCTTAAGTTTATCATTTCATAAATACTCAATTTATTTACAGCACAAACTCTGTAAAATTTACCGTACTGTATGCTTGTTTTTAATGAAACCATTTCCAGGATGGACAGAAGCAATTTTACTTTCATGAGATACATTATAAATTAGATTCTATTGTTTATTATTATTTTCATAACATTCATTGCTACATTAATTTAGGATTTTGCTCAGCATTTATATACATGTAGATATAAATCCAAGTCAAATCCAACTTAAATCTTATTATACAAATGAGGATAACTATTTTATATAATAAATTGCTCAAGTATTGAAATAATTAGGACAATGTCAGTAAGAAAATCATGTTTTATGTATGAAAGGATATGAACATACACAATGTTAGAGTAGAAAAGTTAAAGAATATCAAAGAGCACATACATGAACTATTCACCTGTCTTTAAAATGGAGTAAAACTTCCAAATCAATGCACGACGCCACGAGCTGGGGTACACAATATCCGATTTCTAGTACATATCCGAACACAAGCAAACACCTAATATTCTTAGCAACAAAGGCCGACCTAAATTATAACGCAATATTGAACTGTTATAATTAGAATATGACACTTATAAACACAACTATTGTAAACGATCTTTTTACGAATTAAAATCCTATAATTTTATTGAAATGTAACGGTGTAAACAAACATACAGGTACCCTTGTTCGCTGACAAACGAGTATTACGTATTTAAATAATATATTTCAGCCGTTAGATATCGCCCGGCTAGCTCAGTCGGTAGAGCATCAGACTTTTAAGGCTGATTGAACTTCAGATATCTGAGGGTCGTGGGTTCGAGTCCCCCGTTGGGCGTACATTTTTTCTTTCAAGAACAATTTTTTACACATGTACATAATACAATTTTTATAAGACAAAAAGTTTAGATTACATTATAGAGAAGGTTTTTAATCACATACAACTCGCAATGAAAATGAAAATACTTATGTAGATCTCTTAATTACTTTTTATATTTTAGCAGTAATATATCATTAATTTTCAAGTAAACCCTTTGAAAGAGCAAAACAATTTTTTATTTTAAAAAAATCCAGGTTCAAGTTGTAATAATTCTGGAATTATTGGTGCTTTGAACAGTACTGTACAGTAGAGTTATGAATCACATGAAGACCATTATATTTGAAGCTTATTCCGTAAGAAATAAAGCAGGCATAGAAAGTAGTCCGGCAAGACACCAGTGAAAATACGGAAAATATGTTTCACTGTATTGATTTTTTTTTTCAGTGAAAATACGGAAAATGAAAATATGCATTTTATTTCATCAATTTTTCTCAATATTTTATTTATAATTAAGTATATAATAAATTTATTTATTTATTTATTTATTTATTTATTTATTTATTTATTTATTTATTTATTTATTTATTTTTTATTTTATTTTATTTTATTTTATTTATTTAAGTCTCATCTTTACATGTATACATAAAATATTTATATAACATGAAATACATGAAAAGCCGTTCTAATTGTTTGTAAGGGAGACAACTCCACAGAATCATATCACAACAGTTTACTGTTTTATGCACTGTGGAATTGTCCCCCCTAGTCATGATCATTATCATTCATTAAAAGGTTATGTTTTTTATTTTAAAGACATAGCATCAATATATTCTAACTATTGGATGTTTTCCTTACAGAAGTTAACATAGTGGTGTAAAATCACAGTGAATAAAACTTTACTAAAATGTTTAAATGTGAACTTTATGAATGGTCACATTACAACTTACTACACAAAAACTTAAACGCGGACACACTTGTCTGGCTAAAAATAAAAATATCACTTACCTGGTCATTTCTATATGAGAGTTTTGGGGCCGAAATAGGGCCTCATTCACAAAGCCAAGACTTTTTTCACGTATAGCATGGAGCTAAATATATCTCTATGCGTATAGTTATTGACAAATCTTTAATTAGTTACAAGGAACCTTATTTATTAAGAAGATTACTATCACTAATAAAAGTAAATCCCAATATGTAGTTCTTTTAGTACCTAAAACTAATATGATTGTGATATAAACACTATTTGCAAATAATTGTAAAGTTTCACAACTCAAATGGGCCGCAGACCCATTCGCAAAAGAATGGAGAAAAACACTGATATAAATGTGTTTATCTTTATGAAAAGCTGTATCTACAGAAACTTGAACCTTCAATGTAAGGGCCATTAGATAAGAATTCAGATGGCCAATTAGTGATGGCAATTAAATAAGACTCTCAACTCAGCGGACGTGTTAGTCATAGTGATTTACTGGCTGATAAGCCCTTAGTGAAATTCACCAGGTCTCTGGGATAAATGCGTGGGACTGTACATAAAATAATATTAAAGAAGTATTAAAACTTAGTGCAATATTTAAATTCCGATGTGATTTTAAATTTAATACTGTAAGAAAAAATGACTTCAACGGTAAAAAACGGGTTTTGTTGCCTCCCTTGACAATCTGGAGTCGAATAGAAAACATGAGTTAAAAAATGCTTACCTCTACGAGCAGGGTCTTTCAAATTTTGAAAGACCCTGCTACGAGGAAGTAAACTACAACGAACAAAAAATGAGCCGCGTCATGACAAAACCAACATAATTGGTTTGCGACCAGCATGTATCCAGACCAGATGCTGTTCTCTACTTGTAATAGAGTTGGTTGTGACGCGGCTCAAATTATGAAAAGTATCGCCTATATGAAACTGGGAATTTATAAATGACAAAGTGGGCACCCCATCCCTTCCTTCCCTACCCCCAAAAAGGGCGAAAAGTATCAAAATAAAACATGAAAATTCTTGAGAATTAACATACTTGATATTTAGTTAAATGCTGCATATTGACCAAGGTTAAGGACGTGAAGTGGTTACACACTTGGTTCGAGCTAAATACAAAACGACAATAGTCATGAAAATTTATAACGCCCAGACGTAAGTGGGTTTTATGCTATTTTGAAAGTTTTTAATCTGTCCATTCTATAATACACCCTGACTGCTTATGTTGGTTTAAGCTTTATACGTGACGAAGTAAATGAAGAAATAAACTGGTCCTTTACCCGGCCAGTCTGACCATGTTCTATATATACCGTTAGCAAAATAACTCTCAATTGCGCAATTCTAAAACAAGTCCATTTAAAGCTGTAAGGTTAGACCATATTATGTTATTAGCAGGTTACATAAATGCCCCTGGTATTATTTAAGCATTTTATACATTATGAAAATGATGACAATAATGCATCAGCGTTTAAAATAAAGACAGGCGACTGCGGCAGCGGAAACGTTATTATTATGAAGTCATTACGTCAACAACACGTCGTAGCATAGAAACAACGTCATGATAGATTGGTAGGGTAAGACTCTTGCATGCAGGTTGAAAAAAATCGATTATCTGAGTGAAAATGTAGTTATTTTTAGTTTTTAAATCATAAAGACATGTCATATAGTGACAGAATCAATTCTTCGGGTAATTACTATTTCCGGTATGATGAAGATATCGGAAAACATGGGCCTTACATAGAGTACCCTGACGCTCCGGCCGTAACACCTTCCGGTTATATTACAATTGAACTACCATCGGATAGCTCTTCAGATGATACGCCATCTCAAAGTCTTTCAGAAGCGAGTTCTCCGGAACCAGTAAAGGCTGACCCAAATATTGGAATGGTTATTATACAAATGGATGACGGCGGTCCTAGACCTAAAAGAAGTAGAGCATCAGACATAGTTATACCAATTGATTCCGTGTCGTCGCCGGAAATTATTAAGGAGACGCCGGTTGAGGATGGTTCAAGTACAGATGACAATTCGCCCATTCTAGTAAGTTTTAAAACATTTTCCTACCGAATGAATGAATTTTATTTACTATGAAAAACTTTGATGCCACATTAATTTGCCGAAATGCAGTATAGAGTAATGGAGCAATCATACCGATTGGGGAAAATGTGTAAATAATTTTACAAAAAAGATGTCAATAATCTCTTTACCTGTAAACATTTATCCTTTCGGGTTGGCCCCAATTTTTCGTCACCCAAGCAATTTTATAAACAGCGCTACCTTTTTTCTATTTTATTTTCTATGGATCCAAGCAAGAAGAAATTGTTGAATAAATTTGGCAGAATTATTAAATGAGCCGCGTCACGACAAAACCAACATAATGGGTTTGCGACCAGCATGGATCCAGACCAGCCTGCGCATCCGCGCAGTCTGATCAGGATCCATGCTGTTCGCTATCAGTTTCTCTACTTGTTATAGGGTTTGTAAGCGAACAGCATGGATCCTGATCAGACTGCGCGGATGCGCAGGCTGGTCTGGATCCATGCTGGTCGCAAACGCATTAATTTATATTGGTTTTGTCGTGACGCGGCTCAAATTTACTATGATGTTTAAAAATATCCAACTGTTTTCTCTCTTAACGAAAATTTGTTGAGACTTTCAGACATACACAGTAAGGGTGTTGACTCTAGGACAGGGACGAATTTAGGGCACCCGACGATATAACTACTGATGGGATAAATAATATAAAATGTACATGTATTATTATTTGTCAGCACACATTCATGGCCTCGTGTTCACTAAGAAAAGCTCAGGTTCAGGTTCAAATGACCCGGGTTTTATTTTCATTGGTTTATAAAAATTAAATTGATGGTATTTGACTAGAATTAAATGGTACATCAACAAAATGTAAAAAAATAATAATGCCGATTTGCAATGAACAACCCTATTTCGAGATAACATCGGCGAATAACAAAACAAAAACAAAAATAATCAGATCAAAATTAGAATAAATCAATTTTTGGATGAACTATAAAATGCCCATATCTTATTAAATAACAATACATTAATTCCAAATTTCATAATCATTCTATTTTAAGTCCAATTTTATGAAAATAATATTAGATAATTATCAAATATGTATTATATGGATAAAACAATAAAGACAATTTAAAAAAAATATATAAAAAGGGAGGACATTTTGATATATCAATCTTAAGTTAAAATTTGAATTGTTAAAAATTTTAAAATTCCTTTTGTTATGCTTGTTTGTCGGATTTTTTTAACTTGCTGTTGTCATTTCCGTGTGTATGCGGATCGAGTACTGAGAAATGAAAAGATGACAAACGCTGCATACCTTTCTTTCTTTCTTTCTTTCTTTCTTTCTTTCTTTCTTTATTTATTTATTTATTTATTTATTTATTTATTTATTTATTTTTAAGACTGCCGAAGTAGATAGCGACGAATGTACATTTTTCAACGATATAGTCGACAACCAAACAACTTCCGGGCCAGATTATAGCAGTTCCTCATCTGAATGTAGTTCATCAGACGAAGAAGAACTCAATCGTGAGAGTATCTCGGCTTCTGAAAGTGATTACGAAGACAACAATGAGGCACTCTCTGACAAAGATAGCTACGTTTCTGAATCCAACGTTGAATACGATATCAACGATGAAGACAACGACAATGTTGACGATGATGTAAGCGAGACAACCTCCAAAAGCATAAGATCGACATCCAATTGTAACAGGATTGGTATTTCTGAAACAAGCCTTTTAAATCTGTGTCAAAGATTTCAAAATGGAGCTGCTAGATATGAAGAAATACTTGAAGCGAGAAACCGTCTAGGTAGACAGATTAAACGCACATTTCCAAACCATCAACTGTCTTCTCACATCGCATTGAGAATGTTTTCTTCCTTGTCTACTAGCTATAAACTTAAAAACATCGGTTACGTTAACATGGATTCTCTGCCTGCTACATCAGATGCATGTCCCGTCTTGAACCACGAAGCATCTGGAGTTGGTGACATAGTTGAAATTTCCCGCGAAAACGAGACCTCCATCTCAGCCGATGGGACTCCAACTGAAAATGACAGCACATCTCCAGTATGTAGCACACGGGTTGACTTCACGCCGGCTGCACGTAGTAAAGTCGAAGGGGCTAGGACAGCATGTTCTGAAGCAGCTAACGAAGTATATAGTGTGCAGTCTGGCCGGGAGAATCCGCAAGCCAAGTATGACAGTGAAGTCAGGCCCAATCAGCCGGGTTTAAACATGCCAGCTGTCAACTTCCACCGGAAAAAGATTAAAGAAGTGCTACCACCTATTCCAAAATGTAAGTCATCTAGTTACTATTGAGTAATCATTGTCTATCAGATCCAAATATTTTTTAAAACAAACAATGGGTTGAAACTATGTGCATGTTCACTAGCATCTACGTGTTATAGTGCTTATTTCGTAGTATATAAGTTAGATGGAAAGGTTTCATATATGTTCAAAATAAAAGTAGCGTTAATTAAACTAGTGGCTATAATTTGTTACAAGATGGCAACTTTGATAGAAAAAAATAAGTTACAGGCCAAATTAGTTAATTAGATATTTAATATTAAACAGTAAGTTTACTTCAGATATGTAACTGTCCGAGTCATAAATCAAACAGGCACTTGAACAGCTTTTATAGATACATAAGTATACTTACATATGTGTGTATTTTATAAAAAAAATTATAGAATGTTTGCTATGTACAAAGCGAAAAAAAAGTTTACAGTGTAAAAACTGATAATTTGTATTAACTTTACATGTTTTACAGCGGCAGGAAGATCCAAACCCCAGACAGCCGTTGACAAAAGTAATGAAAAGCCTTCAGCTGCCCTTAAATCAGCTAATAAACAACTGATTATTAAACCTGAATTTCATGTAAGTCACTGTTATTAGTTTTTATTAAGTTACTGTTATTCTCTGTGTAAAGTGAAAAATATAATAAACATTAAGCAAAATTTGGTCATTTAAGAAATATTTAAGAAACACACATTATCTACTTGGTTATGCCTACCTTTAATAAAAAAAAAATCAAAAAATTCTACAAAACAACAATTTTTCTTCAAAATTATATGTTAGGCCATGTTTAAACATACAAAAACGCGATTTGGGGTAATTTCAGGTATTTTCATCATTTTCTGTTTATAATTATTCGTTTTTTGTTCTGAAATTTAGGTATTGATAATATTCAGTAAACTAATTTGGGCATTTACCATTTTTTTTAGAACCGCAAACAATGCCAAGTTGCAAAACCTGGTATCCCTCACCAGCTGCGATCAGTGGCGTGTTACAGGGACGGCAAGGTGGACGTGTCCATTACAGGCGATAAGAGACTTATACCCGAGTCAGAACCGCTCAACGTCAACATCACATTTATACATAAACCGTTCACGATGCCATACAAAGAGGCCAAGGTCACTGACGAAGATGATGACAAACAGTCATCATCTATAAAAAGGAAACCGTTTCCATCACCAGTAAAATGCTTTAGTCCCAATATTCCACCTCAAAGCAAAATACAGCCTAATAAAAGACCGTTGCCTCCGTTGAAGCATGTACAGAAGACCGAAAAAAGAGATTTTAAAAAATTAAACAATATTCCAAAATTGGCGATAGACTCAAGGCAAGTCGGTCATTTTCCAAGCCATAAAGCTCTTCCCCCATTGCGCAATGTTTCAGGAAAAGTTAGACAGTACATTCCGATCGTGGAGAGAAAATTAAAAGTGGTTACCAGCAAGAAACGTAATAAAAAGTCAACAACAAAACAAGAAAATTTAAACTGGGACATCGTAAATGACAGAGCCCAGCGGCCACCATTTAATACCCACATAAATACAGAAGCTTCCGAGAGACACCAAAAAATATTTGCAGATATTCCTGTTTAAATCTGTACAAACTTAAAATCTATTAAAATAACGAACACAAAATTGTTAGATTTATTTATTGGTACATTCAAATAAGACGTCCAGCGACATATTGTTCCTACTTTCCTCTGACAGGTTATATGGGCCTATATAAATGGTTGTTTGCATATATAACCCGAGTCGCCAGAGGAGCGTTATAGATCTATTTAGTTTAGAGTTTATACTAATTTATTTTAGTTCGTTTGGAGCAATTTCATCCAACTTTACAGGAATGATCATTATCAAGTTATTTGCATTCATTGTTTTTATGGTTCAATTTATTTTTCGGATTAGGGCCCCTTTTAATCTTTTTTTTTTTAAAAGTTGTCCGAATTTACCCCTCTTTTCCCCCCTTATGAAATTTAAATAAACTTACAGGATTGATTTTTTGGCTGATTTATTGCCCTCGAATGAAAAGGTGATTTTTTTGTGTTGCCAGCTACATGTTTGGACTACTCTTCAGAAACTGCTGGTGCATTATCATCAAAAATTTAAAGGAATGACCAATACTATGTCTAGTTGTGCATCTCATCAACCTTTTTTTCGATTTAATGATAATTGTCAGAGTAATGTCCCTTTAATGATTTTAATTTGGACTACTCCTCTTATACCACTAATGCAATGTTTATGAAGCTTTACAGGATTGATCGGTAGCTCAAGTACTTGCACATATTACACGGGTTTTCCGGTTGAAGGATTTTCAGCCGAGTTATGGCCTCGAATAAAAATGTGTTGATTTTTGGGTCTCCTGCTACATAGTAGCTGCAACATGCAATTGGCTATCATGAGGCGACATGTCATCACTGATGGCCCTTGTGTCATTATGTCTGATAATAGGAAAATTGTCTCCAGCTTAGAAATTGGTGCGTAAGATAAGCTAAAGCTGGTTAAACAATTACAATGAATTAAATGTCACATATAAATGCTTGTTGAGTCCTTTAAACATTTAGAATAAATCCCCTTTGGCAATTAACCTTGTACTTGCATAACTTAGTGACAATATCTTCGCATAAAACCCATTGGCTTTGCAAATTTCTTGGTGCTTGGGAATTTTCGCAGCTGGCGTTGTTTAAAAAATACTTAGTAAGGGCACACTAGATAAATGACTAATGTATTTCTTCATCATATAAACTTTCGATAAACCCAACCCCAAGGCTAGTTACCATATTTTTATGATACAGTTTGTTCATGTTTTATTTTGTCCCGTTTTATGTTTCAAACCGATATACCATCACAGAGAGTACAATAGAAAATACCGTTTAGACAATTCAAGAGATACATACACTGTGTCGTTACATAGTAACAAGTACTTTAGAATGACTCCTGCGTCTTACTCTATAGAACAAAATAAAACTCAATTAACACATGGAGAAAAAAAATACAAACAAACAAAAACAAAAAAAAACGTGATTTCAAAGAGTCATATAAGATGTACTGAACTTCTTTCTATGTGGGGAAATACGCAATTTTCACGAGTTACATGTCCGAAAGTGACACATTACTGAAGGTCCCATAATCACCGTCGTTTGAACACATATATTTAATTATATATGCTTTATGCTACATAACATTTTCGTATTCTGTTTCAGCCAGTACAGGACATGAACCGTAGTTGTCCATGTACATGCCCAATCAAACCATGTTGGCATTACATTTAAGCAACCTTTGAGGTCTTCACTTATCATCGTTTAGATAAGAAACTATGCTAGTTGTAAGCAGATACAAGTTGTCTCATTTGTAGTGCAACAATGAAGATCGTTCTGTTTTGTTTCCTTTTGGCAATTAGTCACCCATTTATTTTTTGTCAGGATGCAGATAAACTCCAATTGATATTATCTCGGATTGATACCCTGGAAAATACAGGTATGCTAGATATGCAAAAAATCTGCGGTACATACCATTTATTCAAGTAAGAGAATTCTACATTTTTCTAAAACTTTCTTGAAATAAACATGAATATAATTCAGCCTAAGCTTATAGGGTTAAATTGATTTGCCGGTTTAACGTATTTAAGATAGTGTGTGTATTCATGTGAAAGAACATTTTATTTCTAATACTATATAAAACTTTTTTTTAAATTTTCATTTTCTTTAACTCCATTACATATGTGAAGTGATAGTTCTTTGTAATTAAACATTTAAAACATCCACGTTATTGGTAAATTTTGATGAGATGACAATAAGATGTCCACATACCTTTCTATATCTGTTTAGTAAAAGTCGGTCTTTAATTCTCCACCGCGTGTTATCAATCGCTTATGTAGACAAACGCATTTTAACCTTACACTTTCACCAAATAACGCAATAAAGAGAACTGAGAGATAGATGGAAATGACATTTTGAAGTCAGCTTTTGGCTTACCAATGGTTCTGTGTGGCTTGGTACTGTTTGGTATTGCGTTTAGTCACTGTCGCTCTCCCTTTATGATCTTTCCGTTCATATTTGATCTACAAAATGTTATTTATTTCAGTCGCATTGCAACACGAACGTATACAGGTTATTCAAAAAAGAGATGAGTCACAACAAAAGCGCATTGAAGAACTAGAGAACATTGTTAAAGCTCAACAGACATTTATCAACGGTGTTCTAGCTCATGCCAAGGAAGAAGACGTCATAGCTCGTGGCAGTGTTGAGGGCGTCATAACTGAAGCCGGAGTAAAGAAAAGCCAACATGATACGGCAGGTATCGTTTTGGACACAGACATCAATGGAAATAAAGAAACTCAGCCATTGCTTGTTGGTGATCCGGGAAGGAACATATCAGATGTATTTACTAGTATGGACAGCATTGGAGAATATCGACATTGTAAGTGTGGTTTCATCACATCTAGCGATTCTGAATTTAATCACTTAACTGTGGAATATCATGTTTTACAAATGTCTGGACCGTAATGTGCACAATGGTCTAACTACGAACCAAATATAACCCCTTGTGCGTTTTTACAAGCACATGAAAGACAAATCATCAGAGATATCCAAAGCTATGATTTTAAATTAAAGCAGCTTGTGGTCCATATCCGTTTTTATTATATCTATATGTATATATTTCACGGACTACATCACTGCCGCGCAGTCTTTACTTATTATGGTGGCTGATTTGATACGCTTTTGTGCGTCTAGATGGCGAAAGCGACAACACGACAAAGCGCCAAACGGCGAGTTGTCGGACTTTCGCCTTGTCGTCCTGTCGCTAGCGACAACACGACAAAGCTCCAAACGGCGCGTTGTCGCGCTGTCTCTAGCGCGGCACGCCAACCGGTGCGTTGTCGTGCGGCGCGTTGTCGCCCTGTTGCTTGGCTTATAAGCCAACCCTTCAAGTTGAACCGAGCGACAATGTGACATCGCAACAACAATCGGCGTGCCGCGCTAGAGACAGGACGACAACGCGCCAACGCGACGCACAAAAGCGTACCAAATCAGCCACAATAACTTAATTATTAATCAAAGCATTTCGTGTTAGAGACGTACACAGCACTTTCTTTTACTTTTATGTTAAACTGAAACAATATCGGTTTAAAATTGAGTAAAACAAGAAAGTTGTGGCAGGGGTCTCATATCTGCTTCTCAACTCAAACATCGTTGGCTCGAGCCCAATTTGGGTCATTGTCATGTGTCCTCATATGACACAAGTGCTAATTATTTCTGGAAGCGAACTCGTAAATGTTTCACTAAGATACAAGCTTTCTTCGCAGTCGACCTTATTATAAATAATAACTTATACTTAAAGTATTGTGAAGAGAACAAAACATAATTCTACCAAGCTGAAAATTAATATATTCATGTATAACAAATAAAAATTTTAATATTTATTAAATGAGCTATTTTTTCAACTCTCTTTTGCTATGAAAAAATTGATACACGAATGGTCATGACATTCGGAAGTTAGCGACTAAAGAGTTTGAAATTGTTTAAAAACAAACAAAATTACTCAACACCACGTGTTATTTCGTGCATTTCAGTTAAAAGACGCGGGAAAACAATGGCACGTCAGTTACAAGAAACAGTTGCTTTTCATGCGACAATCGATGTGCAAACTCACGTCACGCAGCTTACAATTGGGCAGACAATCGTGTTTGATTCAGTCCATCTGAACATTGGAGGAGGGTACCACAGCTCGGGAGGACTATTCATTGCACCTACAGCAGGAATCTATATGTTTTCATTATCTGTTATGTTAAATACGCCATCACACTGGATATCTCTGGAATTGCTAAAAAATGGCGCAATATTAGCTGAAACATATGCTAACGGATATGATCAAGGATCCGTATCGGTTGCTACGCAACTTAAGGTAGGGGATGAAGTGTTTGTAAAGGTACATGGCAGTGACAGCGGCATGGTTTATGGTGAAAAGTTGACCAGTTTCACGGGTGCCCTTATTATGCCTTATTAACGTATATGTATTTGTATAGCTAATTCTAATCGGTAATAAAAAGAAAATTGCCTATTATTTATTTTTTTTATTTATTTTTTTATTTTATTTATTTATTTTTTTTTTTTTTGGGGGGGGGGTGTTCCTCTTAACCAAATGAACAATATCCCACTGGGGAAAAACGCACTACTGGATTTTACAGGGCCACTGTAATTTTGAAATGGTTCAAAAGTTAATTTAAATTACAAAGAAACATATAATAATTATGTGAAAATGAACTTGCAAGCTACGGTCCACATGGAAATAGTGAAAATTTGAATTTAGAAACATCCGCAGATCTGTTTATAATGTGGTTATCATGATACGGTTCCAAGTAAATGAATAAATGCAATAATTGCAAGAGAAAGTATTAAGACTATGAACCCCTTCACCCTTTTCATCTTAAACTCTGGCAAAGAAGCCTAACTTAGTACTATCCGAGAGTTTTAAAACCGAATATTAATCTTCGTCGTACTGTTTTGGGTTTTACGTCACATCGACACAGTATAGGTCATATCGCGACGTTCCAGCTTTTACTGGCGGAGGAAGACCTCAGGTGCCCTTCTGTGCATTATTTCAGGCATGAACGGGCACATGAGTAGAACCACCGACGTTCCGTAAGCTAGCTGGATAGCTTCCTCACATGAAATAATCCAAAGTCCCTGTCGGGTTCGAACCCACAGCGGTACGGGGCAAGTGATTTGAAGTTAACGACCCTTAACCCCACTCGGCAAAAGCCCCCAACTTAAATAACTTAAAAATATATCTTTTTGGATGAAAAAAATTTTTTGCAGTTTGCTAAAGAATTTATTTTTGAAAAAAAAAGTGATTTAGAACGTATTTTATCAAAAAGGGAATCTAAATACTGGCTTCTCAAGGACAAGTTTTGTATGAAAGATTTTTTTGGAAATGGTCACTGACACAGGTTTGACCACATTGTATCTTACAGTATAGTATCTGTAGTTATTTTCATAGAGTAGAACGACAGCATGGACACAGAATAAGTTATTTTTTGTTTTAAATGGAAACGCTTACGAAGCCAATACGAGATCTTTATTTTCAAAAACATAAATACATTAGGGATTGTCGTATTTACCTAACCTGCCAGAGTTTATATCAGAATACATTATCTTAAAGCATAGTAAATAATTAACAATATTGTAAAAGATTTTAAACCGTCCGTAAAAATAGAAAGATTCGTATCAGGCATTTAAAAATGTCGAATATATTATCATATACTGAAGATACCAATCGTAAGGTGTTTTTTAAACATGACAATAAAATTTATCATTTTATCACACAAACGTCTGCCAAGATTTAACAAGTTAAAGGTACATTACCTGAATGAAAATATTCATTATTATTCATATAATCATTTTTTTTGCGAAAAGCGGCATATATTTAAACCTCACCATACCTAATGATGTCTAATGTTGTTTTTTTTTGAGAAGCAGGATGACTGGCATACGAAAGACCGGTGGGGACAATTCAACTTCACGAATAACCGATTTCATCTTTAACTCCACAAATTCACGAATTCAACTTCATGAATTCATGTTTTAAACTTCACGATTTAAACTTCACGTATTCAAGATTGCATCTTCACAAATTCATGATCTCACTATATTATGCACATCACTACTAAAAACCACAAGTTCTTGAAAATATTGACGCAGCTGCCACTTCTATACCCGTAGTTCATAACAAAGAACATTTGAAACAATTCGAGAATCTGCGCTTTAAAACTGATTTTTTTTTACTAAAAATCTTTGTATTTTTGTATCTTAAACTTAATGATATAAAGAATGTGAGTACTGTATACATTCGTCAACTAAGAGGCGTCTTTTCTCCCCCTTCCCTTAATTTATAACTATGACAAGATTTAATTTTTCAACCAAGGGTAGAAACATTTGAGTTCATTTTCTTTGCCTTAAGCTTTGCATGTATGCTCCTAAAACCTAACCGTCTCCTAATAATAAAATTACCTGAAAAATAAGATAAAAAAGAGTGCAAAGGTGTAGTAACTATGCTTCATTATCATGTATGCTTTATTAATTATGTTACCTCTGACATTAATGGTGAAAAGAAAAGGCCTTTTACTGTATAAACAAGTAAATGTTTTTACACCCACCTATCATATTTTTACACCATTTAGGTTTATATTTATCTACATTTAAATGAATATGTGAAATAAAAACAAAACGTAACTTTGATGTTTTATGGTTTAAGTGTATATTTGTTATGTTCAAGTACAATAACATGTTAATGTTACACCACGCTAACAACGTGGTAGCCCTTTAGGATATTCAGTCTTACATTATTAAGTTATAATAACTTATATATGCTTAAGTTAATTCCGAAATCTGGACTCTAAACAATCATAAATACTGAAGAGATTTACGAATTATAAATAAATAATCGCTTGAAAATTGTGTACTGGCATAGGACCAGCGATATATCTGTGAAATTTTGTGTGAAAATATTTAAGGAATTAATTAAGGAATGTCAAATTGACCTAATAACATATCAGTTAATGTGCGAAAACAAGAACGCCAGAGGAAGAAATGAAAGCATTGCGCGACTGGTCTACGGACAATACGTGCATGTTATCTTTAAGGAATAATGCGTCATTAATGTGACTGGTGTTAAATGAAATACTATTTTTAAAATCGTGGATATGAGCAATGAATTGGAGAGAGATGACAAAAGATATTTTAGTTCATACTTAAGTAGCAAAATCAGCTTCAAGCAACGATTTGTTGATCGAGATACTGTATAAACAACAGAAATCAATTAAGACACGTTACTAGTTTATAATAAATATCATTTTATTGTGTTCAGAGACTTTTCAACATTTTTTTAAAATGGCGTTCCTTTGTCCAAGTAGGCTTGGTCGGAATAAGCATAAAAGAGGTATGTAATATACTTATACTAGTAGTTTTAATATATTTATGTTTCTATGCTTGCATCTACTAACAGAACTATATCATGTATATAGTAAAAAAAGATTAAGAGTAAATTGGTTTTATACTGCGTTCTTTCTAAAATACAATTAAATTGTGCAGCTTAATACTCAAAAGACCTGACGAGATGATTGTGTTCTGCAATACTTTTTACCATGGAATTATTGAAAGGAATAATATTTTTTATTATTGATAAAAATAAACATTTTATTTTATGAATACAGTATTAAGAAATATATGTCTTATTTACAATATGGCCTTCAATCAAACAATGTAAATCACATTTTTCAGTAATGAACTATACAATGATGAAACAAAAAACTAGTCTTTGTCTTTTAGGATCATTGATTCCAGCACTTTCAAATGTTTTAAATTGAGCACCGCTCAAGCCGGTATAAGGGGCGTGATGGATGTTGCACTTTTTCATTATCCCTCATATACAGTCTCAGTCAAATTGAGTCTGCAATATACATATTATATTGTCGTGATTTATGCTTCCGAGGTATCACCCTTTCTCCATATTTTATGGTAACAAAACGCAGTAACGCAGAAAAATGTTATTTGCGACCTGGTTTAAAATATGTACACGGTATTACATAATACATACTATCTCCTTTCGAAACTGACTTTCATTTTAAGAAAGATGATTATTATATTCACGACGTTAAAAAATACATATTACATAATATTTAATGTAATACAAAGTTAGGCGTAAATAGTAGTACAATTTATTCTATCTACGAATGCCTTTTCATAATAATTTCATATACATGTACATTGAACGGATTTTATCAGTGAATAAGTGATAAAATGATAGATAAGCAAGCGAAGTCTCTGGATGTGTCCTACTGGCTAGTCCATCGGTTAGATGGAATATAACAAGTTTCATCTGCTCATATATATTTAACGTGTTCCTTTACGTCACCGAACTTTCAATGATATCAAACTGCGTTGACTATATTAATTATGTTATAAGCCTTTCATAAATGTCGCAATTGTTTTAGGTTACCAAAGCATGATGAGGAGATTGACAGAGGGTGATAGATTAGACACTTTAACGCTTGAAGATCTTGTAAAGTTAAGCTGGACAACTCCAGAATCTCGTCGAATTATTATGCAGAATTTTAATTCTTGTGAGTCACAAGAAATTAATGTCAAACAAGGTCAAAAGGTCAACTACATTTACAGAGAAGGGGATTGGGCATACATTGTTACAGACGACAAAAAGGAAGGATTCGTCCCTTTTATATTTCTGGCAAAGATTGGGGTGCCTCCTAACCCAACAAGAAATGCTATAGACACAGGAACTTATACAAAAAGATGTAGTGAGTTGAATCCTCGTAACTTTTCTGTTGAAAGTGAAGAAACTGATCATAGCGGAAGCGACCTAGCAGACGACACATTCACTTCCCCGGGATGGTCAACTGATTCGGGATCAGTTACTACAGTACAAGATTATCCGTCAGTAAATTTTCTAAAGACAGAACCGTTCGAAAAAGTTCCAATGTTTTATGAAGTGTTTTTGGATGAAAGGACAAATATATTGCATAAAAATCCGTTACCGTCACCAGGAAGAAGTGACGACAATGAAATCCCTGATAATAACAACAACCAACGTCTTCTTCAATTCAAAGTGCTGTTTAACTTTGCAGGTAAATTTCCTAATAAGAATTTGATGATGATCTTTGAGCTTGTTATAAGAAATAACCAGATAGGTATTTAACACTTATTAATTTTTTGATCATCTTTAAACAATTTTTAAAAAGGAATCACTGGGGATGCATAAAGAAATTAAAAAGAAAATGGAGAAAATGATTTTACGCTTCAGTATTTACATGTATAAAAGTAAGTAGAAATGAAAAGATTCGTTGCGTTTGAGGAAAGCTGGTGAAAAACTCAAAAACGTTAACCATATAATATTGAAGACGTAATAATAAACCCCTACAGTAAAGTGGATGGCTAAATATATATTTTACCAATGAATATTTTCTGGCAGCTTTATCAGGTTAATCTGAATAACATTTATATGCCATCACAAAGCGACGAAAATAAAGAAGAATACATTTATGATGTATATATGATTGACAAAATCTTTTATGTTTTGTCTAAATATTGATGTCAATATCAAAGTTTCATGACAGATGGAAATTTGCTGCATCATATTTTATGTACGATACACATGTTCAAACGTAAATGCGTATCACAAAAGAAATATTGTTTAAATTTCTCAATTTCTATTATAGGTTTAGACTTGTACGATGTGTCCGTAAAACCTGGTGAAATAGTGGATCTATTAGATGACAGTGATCCTGGTTGGTTTTTGGTACGAAGATCAGATGGTTATGAAGGCTACGTGCCAAGTAACTATATCACCCAACTAACTGAACAACACACACGAGACTTTGAAAATAGTGATAACGAAGCGTTAGAAAGCAGACGAGTCAATGGTCATGAGAAAAGTCCGGTTAATAAAACTAAAGCAGATCAAAATGAAATTCCGAAAAGTTGGAAAATCACAAATGACCTAAAGGGGAAAAGTCCCATCACAACAGCTAACGACATAACTGATGAAGCAAATAAACAAAAGAAACAAAGACCGAAGAAACCACCTAGAAAAAAGAAAGCAAGTTTGGATGGTTTGTCTCCAAGGCTGGACGAATCGGTAGATTCAATAGACACTTTTCTATCAGAGAGCAGTGCAGAATATCTAGACAATGCTGCTAAATCACCCTTAGACGAATTATCTCCAAGATCAGACGATTACAGCGATTCATCCATTTTTGAAAGCAGTTTTAACGGTATCTATGGTTACAGGCAATGTGCTCGTGGCTTGTCAGACATGGAGTTATCACCAAGATCTTTGAATGTGCAATCCTACGACGGTAGTACGTCTGATGAAAAGTCTGTAAGGAAAGGGAATGAAAGACTAGAAGGCCAAACGTCTTTAGAAGAAAGAGGAGGTAACATTAAAAATGCAAGTAGAAATAGGAGAGAAACTCAAGAATCCAACTGCTATGGAAGAAACTTTTCTTGTGAAACGAGTGACTCTTTTGAAAGTAGATCTAGTTATGGACGAAGACAAAAACGCCCAGTGTCGATGCCGGCCTTTAGTTCATATCAGGAATGTAAGAAAGATTATTATGATGAATATTTCTATGACGATGCTGATACAAAATTTGCTAACAAATCAAAACACGACGTTATCAATGTAGCTGAAATTCTACGGATGCGAAATGCTAATAAAAACAAGAAAACGGAGCATTCACATCTGAAACAGAGAAACATCGAAAAGAATTCTGAAAAATATCATCAGATAAGAAAATCATCGTCTGCAGCGGAGTCAAAAGATCGTAATAGACAGTGTAGCAATAGAGCAAAAAACTCTCAAAACCAACCGAAATTAAAACAGTTCTTATTGGATTTGCCTTTAAATAAGATGGAAAAGCAAAATATAAAAACGAATCGCCAATGTAGTGAGAAAAATGATGCTATAAATGTAAACTACAAGGTGGAAACGAGTGAACATAATCATTCTTCAAAGAATTTGCAGAAACATAACAATGCAAGAAGCATGAATGAGTTCTTTGGAAAAGATGTGAAGTACAAAAGTCCTGAAACGACTGATTTTCATCAGAAACTTGTTAAAGGAAAACCAAAGGACAACCAGTCAAGAAAATATAATTCATCATCTGATTTACGACAAGTAGAAACAAAACATTCAGTAGCGAATACAGATTACGGATTAGATAATGAATTAGGCAATGTGTCTATAAAGAATAATAAAGAGAATAAAAAAACTCATATACGACCATACAATTCTTCAACTGACTTGCGAGAGATTGGTGGAAAGCCTGATTGGTCATTTGGGTATCCTAGGAGAACTAAACAAAGTATAGGCAGACAAGAAAATAGAGGACCATCTGGTGCATTAACAAATGATACCAGAAGAGGCACAAAAAGCAGTGAAAACAGCAATGGAGCAGACGATGGATTGGACCAAGGTATTGCATTAAAAAACAACAGAGATCTTTACAACTTAAGACAGAATCCTGAATCAAGAACGGTGGGTGGTATAGTTAAAACACAGCAAGACGATGACAATGAAGTATTTTATAATGAAAATGAAGATGTATGTTTTGATGACGGGGCAATGATGGCATTATTAAATCAAACAGATAACCTACTTAACAAGACAGACAGACTCCTGCATCGTGATAAAAACGATAGAACTCACAAACAAGAGGTTAACTGTTTGGCTAATCAAAATAATCCAAAGATAGACAAGCACCACAAAGAAATACATAGAAATGATAATAATGTAATAAAAGACACTAAAAGTTGCTCCACATTACACCATTCAGAAGCTGAAACAGATGCTGTTAATAAATGTAATCTTTTTCTTAATAATAGTACAATTGGTATACATGGTATGACATACTCTATCACCGAAACTAATAGTGAAAATGTTTCCACGGACAATATAGATGGGAAGATAAATTCTGAAATCCAGCGTTGTTCTTTACAAAGTTGTCAAAGTGTGGACAGTGACTCTAGAAAAGAGAAAAGTAATGTTATGAAAGATAATTCAAGCAAAGTGGTGTCTGCTGAAATTAAATCCATGGATCTGCATGACATCAGGGGTATAACAGAGTTTGTGTGTCAGTGTGACTGTGATAATGACAATGACAATATGTTGCCAATAAAATATGGGGAAATTATCCATATTGGTCTTGATGGTCAAGGTGATGGAGACAAGTACTGGGCCTATAGCCCTACACTTAAAAAGTATGGATTTGTACATAAACAAAATGTTAAAATACCTATGGTTACCATTATATAAATTCATAAAATATTCACCTTTGCATCAAACCACTCATGTCATCAAATCATCATTATAAAAGTAAAACTCAGGAATTTGAACTGTTGTTTCTCATTTTATTAAAGATAATTTCGTATTTATACAAATTGTCAATTAGAATACTTTCTGAAATTGATTGACAATTGCTATACTCTCATCTTTTTTGTTTTTAAGATGGTTTTGTTCTTAAAGTCTCAAGTATTGAAATATAGATTATTAATAAACATTGGCGGAAAATAACAACCAATTGAAGGCCAACAAGCACATTCATTGACTATATCTACAAATGTCTTGAATGGTGCCCCATGGTATTATTATGTACCTCAAAATTAAATAAAGAATTATGTACCTCAAAATTGGAGTGAAAATTATGTACCTCAAAATTTGAGTGAAAATTATGTACCTCAGAATTGGAGTGAAAGTTATGTACATGTACCTCAGAACTGGAGTGAAAGTTATGTACATGTACCTCAGAATTGGAGTGAAAGTTATGTACATGTACCTCAGAATAAGGGTAAAAAAATAATTTTGTTTCTTTGCTAACAATGATAAAGTGCACATTTTGAGTCAAGCAAAACTGCTCTGGAAGTAAACAACATCCTTTTTAGATATTTTTATCTTTAGATATTACAACTGGTTATTTTTACAATCAAAGGAATATCAAGTGTACTGAGGCATGTACATTTGTGCCACAAATGATCAAATTCATTGAATTCAATCAGTCCAGGAATAACCATAATTTCAATATCAACCATTTTTTTTATTTGACAAAGCTACTTGGAGATACACATGAATATAAATTAAAAATCTAATGAAATTACTTAGCCAAGATCAGAAAATATAGTAGTTACATGAAGGTATAAAAACATTTTGAAGGCAATCTGTTATACATCTGATTTTGTGTAAAAAAAATTGGTCATCTTATAATTTTATATGGGAGATAACTTTGCTGCATTAAATGCTCTGTGCAGCAATTTTACTTTACAAACCACTCACAAAAATTACACGACCGTAACTGATCCACACCTCTATATAATGATGGCATTTAAAATATAACAGTGTATATTTATATCCTTTTTGTTAAAGCAGTTAAATATTAGGCAGATAATTTTCTTGAAAAATGGTTATTAGGGCCATTATTCAATTGTAACACACAAATGGAATTCAGTGTGAATCACTTTTCTTAATCAAGAGCTCTGCTGAGGCAGGGTAATATATATCCAATCTCAAATTTACAAGAAGGTATCATGGACAAAAATGTGCCAAAAGAAAAGGTGGCAAGTTTATTGTTGTACATGGCTCAGATAATGACTTTTCCATTAGATGTAAAAGAAAAATACAGTCCATTTTTTTTTCTTGGTGACAAATTAACTTATCAGTAATGGAAGATAAATGAAGATTATGACTTGATTTCATTTTGATTAAAAGAAAATCAATTAAATAAAGGTTGCAATTAACTGATTGCAAATAAAAATCTGTGTGACTGTGTGTGTTATTACAATACATTTACTTGCATGCCAGATATAAAGATATTTAAACCAATAATTCAACATAACATTTGCTGAAAAAGGGTCAGAAGTCTTCAAATTACATGATGACTTAACACAGTCTCTAAAAATCCTTCAAAAGGTTTATAATACAGAAAGGCTGTGGAAATAATTGTAAATGGACAAACTAACATCTTGATGAAATAGAATAAGAGGACATTTCTTCACTTTCTTTTGTTTAACAGAGAGCCATTCGCCCCTCACTCTACAGAATAAAATATCACCCTCTCCTAACGGCTCGGGTGATATAAAATCTTAACAGGTAATATATCCACATATATCACTTCAAAAACAAAATAACATATAATATTTATATCCTTTTTGTTAAAGCAGTTAAATATTAGGCAGATAATTTTCTTGAAAAATGGTTATTAGGGCCATTATTCAATTGTAACACACAAATGGAAATCAGTGTGAATCACTTTTCTTAATCAAGAGCTCTGCTGAGGCAGGGTAATATATATCCAATCTCAAATTTACAAGAAGGTATCATGGACAAAAATGTGCCAAAAGAAAAGGTGGCAAGTTTATTGTTGTACATGGCTCAGATAATGACTTTTCCATTAGATGTAAAAGAAAAATACAGTCCATTTTTTTTTTCTTGGTGACAAATTAACTTATCAGTAATGGAAGATAAATGAAGATTATGACTTGATTTCATTTTGATTAAAAGAAAATCAATTAAATAAAGGTTTCAATTAACTGATTGCAAATAAAAATCTGTGTGACTGTGTATGTTATTACAATACTTGCATGCCAGATATAAAGATATTTAAACCAGTAATTCAACATAACATTTGCTGAAAAAGGGTCAAAACTCTTCAAATTACATGCTGATTTAACACAGTCTCTAAAAATCCTTCAAAAGGTTTATAATACAGAAAGGCTGTGGAAATTCATCTTGATGAAATAGAATAAGAGGACATTTCTTCACTTTCTTTTGTTTAACAGAGAGGCATTCGCCCCTCACTCTACAGAATGAACTCGGTAGTTCTCTTGTTCTGCATCCAGTTAAATAGCCCCAACAGCATACATATAGCTAGGAAGTTGCATTTATTGTGTTTTTACTTGATAAACTTTGACAAGTGTTGTTGTTTGCGGATGCATTATCAATGCAATATCACAATGCCACTGTGTATTTTATGTTTGATTACTCACAGAAGTAGTGAGACACAATAAGTCTTGATTTTCTTGAAATATTTGTCTTATCTGGAGGCTTGCACCTCTAAAATTGGAAACAAGAGTCACCGCTAGGTCAGGACAATGCTCAACTTTTTTACTTTTTCTAAAAGCAAACAAATAAACGGTTGAGACAAATCTTTAAAAAAAAATAAAGCAAAAAATATGGTTTTCCTTTTTTTTTCTTTAAACTTTAATAGATCTGTCTAGTCATACTTGTTGTTTTGTCCAAGTATAAATCCTTTCCATACATAAAATCACAATGTTAAGAAACTATAATCAAAAATCAATCATTTGACAGTTAAGGTCATTTAAAGGTCAAAGTCATATCTGAATTATTCCACATGTCTGTTTGGTCACAAGTGTTGTTTTGTCAACATATGAATCAAGTCCATACATTAATAACAAAATTATGACAAATTAACCAAAATTCAATACTTTGACCTTGGCAGTCAGTCATTTAGAACTTAACTTAAGATCAAGGTCAGTTAAACCATTAAAAATGTCTTGTCCAAAAGGTTGTTTTGTCAAAGTATGAAAAAAATCTATTAATTGATTACAATGTTATTATATTATAGCAATAATTCATAAAAATAAAACAATTTGACCTGCAAAGTCAAGGTCATACATCATCCAAGGTCAATTTGACTTTAATATGCATGAAGGTGCTGACCTTAAAGATGTTGTGTCTAAACATGAAGTTTATCCATTGATAAATTACAAAGATATAGCCAATAACAAAAAAGAAGAGAATTTCATTAATTTAACCTTGACAGTAAAGGTCAAGGTCATTAATATGTTTGTTTCGTAGAAAGTCTTGTTTTGTCCAAGTTCAAATCAAATCCGTACATAAATAACAAATTATGACAATTTAACAAAAAATTAATAATTGGACCTTGACGGTAAAGGTAATTTAAAGCTCCAGGTCAAGGGCAGTTCAACTTATCTGAAGGTCTTGTCAAAAATTATGTTTTGTCAAAGTACAGTCAAAACTGTCTTAAGCAACCAGCCAAGGGATGCAGTCATTTTGGCTGCTTAAGACAGGTGTATATGGATAATCCATCCATTAATTACCAAGTTACAGTCAATTAAAGCAAAAAATGAATGAAAGTTCAATGATTTAACCTTCAAGGTCAAGGTCATTAAAGAACCAAGGTCAATTTGAGTTTGATATAAAATTTCAATATTTGACTTTCGAAGTCAAGGTCATTTATAAGTGAAGGTCAATGTCTGTCTAGTCAATTTGAAGGTCTATCCTAAAAGATTATTATGAAGTTTGAAGACAATCCATCTAAACATAACCAAGTTATAGCCACTAATAGCAAAAATCAGACAAAAACAAAGCAAAATTGACACATTTAACCTTAAAGGTCAAGGTCATTTATAGATGAAGGTCAAGATTTGTCTGGTCTACTAAAAGGTATTGTCCCAAGGGTTGTTGTGGCCAAGTATGAAGACAATATACCATGAACTTAAGTTATGATCAACATACAAGCTTGCGGACGGCAACGCCGACATGACATAACAATTATACTTCTACTCTTTTTTCAAGCTATATGTCCCGGCAGTCAACTTCGCTACCAGGTAGTCCAATGAGCTACTTTATAAATTGGAAATAAGTTTTCGTGTGTAAAGAAGGAGGGGAGAGAGGGGTGATGAGAGCATCTTTGATTATCTATCTTCTTGCTCCAGACATATTTTGACAAATATATCATTAGTATCAGAAATAACTATAAAATTTCATATTTTTATTTCAATATAATTTCAACATTTTTGGCTTTACTCAAAATATTTTTCTGTCCCGTATTTTCTGTTCTTTCATCTCTTTTATTGTCCTTTCCAGTTTATTAAGTTTCCTTTGTGCTTCGTCTTCTTGCTTAACAATATCCTCTTTACGTCGCTTAAATTCTCGCAATATTTTTTCTTTATCTAAACCATACTGCTTAATTTCTTTATCAATTTCTTCTAACACTTTCTGTTTCATTTCATAAAACTTCTCTTTTTCCTGTTCAATATCAGCTTGAACTTTTTCAATTTTCTCCCTCTTTTCTTTCCTCATTTCCTGTCTCACACCTTGCTTTATACGGCTCCTTCTACAGGGCTTCCAATATCTATATGGGTCTTCAGGAGTCCATGTTAACTTTAGCTCCTTCAGAAGCCACAGAAATCGGTCATAATCAAGTGCGCGCAATTTTTTCAGTGTCTTCTTTCTTTTAGCAATTCTCTCAATTAGATGCGCTTTATGTTTTTTATTCTGCAAATAACACAAGATACATGTATTCGTAAAATGTTTTCAATTCAAAATGAAAGGACAACAGATTTGAAAAGCAAGAGGGCAATGAAGACCCTTATTTCTTTCTTTTTCATTTGAATGAGTTTTACGTCTCATCAACAATGTATAGGTAATATCATTATGGCGACTTTCCAGCTTTCCTGGTGGAGAATAACCTCAGTTGCCCTTCCGTGAATTATCTAAAGAGTAGAACCACAGGCTTTCCGTAACAAAGCAAAGTCTCTGTAGGGATGCTCCACATAATGACCGTTATATTACTCACTTAAATATTAAGACTCTAAATACGAAGGAACATTGCTAAGTGTTACTTTGCAAGTATACTGTTATATTTTGATACATTTAACATGCTTAATCAGAGATCTGGTATAAACCCCCTATAAATGAATAAAGCTTTGTATTTGTTTTTATTTACTTTGGTTAAGGACCAAATATGGACATTATTTCATCAGTACCCAAGGTTCAGCACAAATTGTTGTCAATGTGTCAGTCATTTTTAGCCCATGTTTCGCATTAGTGGTTGACAATATGCCAGTCATTTAGCCCATGTTTAGCATCAGTGGCTGACATTATGCCAGTCATTTAGCACATGTTTAGCATCAGTGGTTGCAATAAGTCAGTCATTTAGCCCACGTTTAGCATCAGTGGCTGACATTATGCCAGTCATTTAGCCCATGTTTAGCATCAGTGGCTGACATTTTCCAGTCATTTAGCCCATGTTTAGCATCAGTGGCTGACATTATGCCAGTCATTTAGCCCATGTTTAGCATCAGTGGTTGACATTATGCCAGTCATTTAGCCCATGTTTAGCATCAGTGGCTGACATTATGCCAGTCATTTAGCCCATGTTTAGCATCAGTGGTTGACATTATGCCAGTCATTTTAGCCCATGTTTAGCATCAGTGGCTGACATTATGCCAGTCATTTAGCACATGTTTAGCATCAGTGGTTGCAATAAGTCAGTCATTTAGCCCACGTTTAGCATCAGTGGCTGACATTATGCCAGTCATTTAGCCAACGTTTAGCATCAGTGGTTGACAATATGCCGGTCATTTAGCCCATGTTTAGCATCAGTGGCTGACATTATGCCAGTCATTTAGCCCATGTTTAGCATCAGTGGCTGACATTATGCCAGTCATTTAGCCCATGTTAAGCATCAGTTTTTGTTTGTTTGTTTGTGTCATTTTACGCCTTTTTCCAACAGTATTTCAGTCATATAGGCGGGTAGTTTCCTAACCATCGTTCCTGGAGAGTTACACCAGTACTTGACTACCTTCCTCCGCGCTAAACTACCAAAGCATCTCCCGGGGATCGAACCCACGCCAGAGAGGTAACTGGATTAGAAGTCATCAACTCTAACCACTCGACCACGGAGGCGGTGTATTTAGCATCAGTGGTTGACATTATGCCAGTCATTTAGCCCATGTTTAGCATCAGTGTTGACATTATGCCAGTCATTTAGCCCATGTTTAGCATCAGTGGTTGACATTATGCCAGTCATGTTAGCCCATGTTTAGCATCAGTGGCTGACATTATGCCAGTCATTTAGCCCATGTTTAGCATCAGTGGTTGACATTATGCCAGTCATTTAGCCCATGTTTAGCATCAGTGGTTGACATTATGCCAGTCATTTAGCCCATGTTTTAGCATCAGTGTTGACATTATGCCAGTCATTTAGCCCATGTTTAGCATCAGTGGTTGACATTATGCCAGTCATTTAGCCCATGTTTAGCATCAGTGGCTGACATTATGCCAGTCATTTAGCCCATGTTAAGCATCAGTGGTGACAATATGCCAGTCATTTAGCCCATGTTTAGCATCAGTGGTTAAAATTATGTCAGTCATTTAGCCCATGTTTAGCATCAGTGGTGACAAATATGTCAGTCATTTAGCCATGTTTAGCATCAGTGGTGACAATATGTCAGTCATCTAGCCCATGTTTAGCATCAGTGGTGACAATATGTCAGTCATTTAGCCCATGTTTAGCATCAGTGGTTGACAATATGTCAGTCATTTAGCCCATGTTTAGCATCAGTGGTTGACAATATGTCAGTCATTTAGCACATGTTTAGCATCAGTGGTTGACAATATGTCAGTCATTTAGCCCATGTTTAGCATCAGTGGTTAAAATTATGTCAGTCATTTAGCCCATGTTTAGCATCAGTGGTGACAATATGTCAGTCATTTAGCCCATGTTTAGCATCAGTGGTGACAATATGTCAGTCATCTAGCCCATGTTTAGCATCAGTGGTGACAATATGTCAGTCATTTAGCCCATGTTTAGCATCAGTGGTTGACAATATGTCAGTCATTTAGCCCATGTTTAGCATCAGTGGTTGACAATATAACAGTTATTTACCCCATGTTTAGCAGAAGTGGTTGACAATATGTCAGTCATTTACTCCACGTTTAGCATCAGTGGTTGACAATATGTCAGTAATTAGGCCACATTTAGCATTAGTGGTTGACAGTACATGTATTTCAGTTATTAAGCCCATGTTTAGCATCAGGGGTCAACAACATTTCAGTAATTTACCCCAAGTTTAGCACCAACCATTGACAAGAATGGGTGACCATGTGACATATGTTTACATAACATTTGGTCACACATATTTTTTACTACTTTTTTGTTATATCTTTAATATTTGAATGAAACTAGAACAGTGTCCAAAAGACACGGATGCCCCCACTGACAACATATATATGGTATATAGTGAAAAAATCAACAAAGGGCCATAATTCTGTTAAATTTGGTCGCAGCAAAAATTCCTTCCTTTACTTCCATCTACACATTAAGGTTGTTCATCCCTGGAAGTTTAAGCAAAATCTGCCATCCGGTTTAAGAGGAGATGCGTTCATATATATTTCGGGACAGACGTACGGACGGATAGACAAGTGCAACGCTATATGCTCCCCACTTTGTGGGGGCATAAAAATATACCATGTTCAAGGTACATAATGTAAATATTTGCCAATTGCAATGGTATATATTTTTCCAATGTAGCTTTTGTACTTTTCCAGACATGTTATCAGAAATTTGTGACACTTATTTTCATCAAAATATTGATGCATAGAAAAATTTCTAATTTACAATATCTTAATTATTCCCCCTGGTTAAGTGAAAATTGTTGATAATATTTCAGTAATTACACACGAAAGTTTCCCAAACTGTGTCTGTGAATTCTTTAGCAATTCAAACTATATTTCCCAAATCTTGCTTCTGGAGGTAAATGATTTGGAACAGCGCTTGACAATAACAAGTTTAATTGGATAATATTTTTGTTCACAAATATTAATTCTTCAACAGTGTCTGCACACTGCTTGCATAATAATGAACTAATAATAGAATGTATAACAATACAAAATAAAATATAAATGTCCTACCCTTCTGTCACCAACAATATATGGAATCATATTACGAATCTTTATGGTCAAAAAACAAACTGAAAATAGAAAACAATTGTTAAAATAATTAATAACATTAATCTATATTGAACTTTTTTCTTATTGTTTGTAACCTAAACATTTTCTAATGTACTAAAAAAGCAAGAATCATTCTAGTATTAAACACATTCTCTGTAAAATACAAAAATGCTGACCATGATCATCAATTATTCTTTTGGTTGGGTTTTTAAATTGCACCAACACTGTAAATGGCGGCTTACCTGCTTTATTGGTGGAGGAAGACCTCAGGTGCATTACATCTGGCTCAAATGAACACCTGGACAGCTCCCTCACATGAAAGAAATCAAAATCCCTGGGGGGATTCAAACCTACAGCAGTGTGTGGCAAATGGTTTTAAGTCAATGACACCATGTCCATTAAGGCACCGTTTACTAAAAGTTCTTTAAAGGGACCAATCTTCATTATTCAAAGTTTTCTGCTTTGTTTAATTGTAACTTTGTTTTATGGTCAGCAATTCCTATGATGTATGTTGTTTTATATAGCATCAGTATTTTCCAGTCTCACCTGTCTCAACATGCTAACAATTTCTAGACTTATTTTTCTTTTACCTTTCTACGAAAGATCCGACATGCACTCAGGGTTTTCATTAGGAAGCAGTGACAGACACAAGTGCATTTTGAGCCACCTCAAAACTTAGTAAAAACTCTTTGTTGAATATGATGAACCCAAAAATGACCACTTCTAATTTACACACAAAAAAAACAACAACCCTGGCACTTATTTCTCTAACAGGGCAGTATTCAGAGATACACAGATAGATAGACTATATAATCTCATATCTACTTTATGATTTTTGCAACTGCTTCTTATTGGAAATTGGACAAAAGGATTAAGCAAAACAAGAATTCATATTTCAGGAATTTACCGCCACTTTTTTCAATGGTTCAGACTAAATCATAATGGAGAGAGTGGACTCTTTCTTGCATATCAGACAGGATTAGCTTCTTTTTACATAAGTTGCCCATTTTAAATGACGTCATTCCCTCGCCCCATTTATGAATGAATTGCATTCTTAGGATGATGTCATTGTACAGTTCTGAATGAAGTTATAAATTCATATGCTACTATAAGAAAAAAAACTTGGATGAAAATATTAGTTTGTTATTTCTATACAAAATATCATTAATTTGTTGTATGCAAGAAAAAGTATCAACATCGGCTGTGGTCACAGGCAGGAACATCTAGCTCTCATGAAGCTGTTTCGCAGAAACTCAGCTGAGCCTTGTTAAGGCCGTAAACAGTTACCCTCAAGATAGATAGATATTCAAATCTGTGCCGATATCCGGTGTAAGATTCTTATAATATGTACATAATTACAAGAAGTATGAAAATAACAGTTACTTATGTGAAAGTTAAGAATTCGAATTAATCACAATTAATCCAATTATCCTTATAATATGTACAGAAGTCAATGGGACAGAACCAAATATACTGATATTTGGAGGGACGGTTCCTAGTAATCTGAAGGAGGTCTTACTTTCTTTTTCTAGGCATGGTCCTGGACCAATCAGCTTTGTGACCTTGTCCAGCAGAACAGCATTTCTATGCTCTTGTTTCTCTCGCTGAAATAATAAAACAATAACAACAAATATGTAACAACTTGATTTAGGTAGGCTTATAAATTTGATCTCACAATCTTGCCTGTGACCTCAGCATAAAAGTAATCATTAGCATAATTATATAGTCAACATTTAAACAACTTGCCATCTGATTATGATCTGCACTATTCAAAATTAATATACTGGTTGGGGACCACCAAAACCGGACAACCACCAAACCCAGACAACCCCGAAAATGCTTAATTTAGTATTTTCTTTGTTCAGTGGTTGTCAGTCACTTTTTCATCAGCAATAAATGCATGTTTCTTCTAAAATTAAGTAAATAAACTTATTTCAACTCCGTAAATGGTAATATTTTAATGTCTATTTCAAGAATGTTGACATTAAAATTTGGGGGGGGTCAAGAAAGCATGCCTGACCTCATATACCAGCTTTAATCATTTGCAGAATAAACAATAGAATATCCAAAACTTCAGCATGTGTTGCTGAAATATTGTATATCATGTTAAAAATAAAAAATAAAAACACCCAAGCTTTTATCTGAATTAAATCAAGTCATGTACAGATCTGTCCGGACACATGGTACTGTAGTGTAGACAATTTAGGTAATTTTGATACCCTCCTTGTCGAACCTCAGATATAAGTGTCAATACAATCAGAAATAAACAAACAAGTTAGTTAGTTAGGAGAAGAACTTAGCTGAAACGTGTCGAATTTTTTTATCTCTAGGTTAAAAATTATGAAATCTGTACGGAAAAATGTTCAAAAACTGTCCGGTTGATGGTCCAAAACCAGTAGTTGATAAAAAAATTCTGCAATGTCTCTAAATTTTTTGTGAAAAAAACAAACAAAACTTCTTTGTGTATAATAATTTCTGTCTTGTCCATTTAATTTTAATTAACCCTGACCACTCGAAATATCAGAAATGGAATTGCCCATTTTTGATCTGGACAAAACCATTCACCATTTTAAGGGAACATTTCTTAGTACAGAAGAAACCTACAAAACCGGATCTCCATTTAACCGGAATCCTCAGTAAACTGGACATTTCTGTATATACTGTTTCAATAAGGAATAGTGCAGATCATGATTAGATGGCACATCAGGCAGACTATAGTAAGAATGACAGAAACATTACACAGGTATAATATGCCTTGTTAACAATTTAATATAGTGAAAAATAAGTTCATAATGTAGGGAAAGGAGCCATTCCCTTAAATTTGGGACAAAAAACAACAACACAGTAGTTTAGCAAGGTGAAAAGACGTAACTTGATGTAAATGAATTTTAGGAAAAATGCACGATTTTACTGAATTCTTCTGAAGGGAAGTAGTTCTTGCACGTCCCCTGCTACAGAAGGGGAAAAACTAGATCAATCATTTCTATGGCCACATGAATTCAATAAAATCTCAAAGATTTATTCTACTCTGTACAATTTCTGGTTTGTTTGATTTGGTTTAATGTCAAACTGACACAGCATAGGTCATATGGCAACATTCTAGCTTTACTGGTGGAGGAAGACCTCAGGTGCCTTTCTTTTAGGTGTTTTTTATTTCAAGCACAAACAGGCACCTTAGAAGAACCAGTCCACCAACGCTCAGTTTGCCAGCTGGATAGCTTACTCAAATGAAAGAATCCAAAGTCCCTGTCGAGATACGAACCCAAAGCAGCGAGGGGCAAGTGATTTGAAGTCAACGACCTTAACCACTCAGCCACGGACACCCAACAATTTCTGGTTAGAATATATCACAAGTGCATCCTATAAACCAGTTTATCATATTTTTTTTTTTTCTGGAGAACCATTTACATTCAACATACCTTGTAAAATAAAAGTATTCCAAAAATACTTAGGCCAAAATTCACATGTAAATATCTCAGTCATGTTGTCACAAAGAAAAATGATGCCTAAAATTTATGCAAGAAAAATACCAGGTAATCTTGCTGTGTCTGTGTTAAAAAGAATATTTTTCTTTAAAATAATTTGTTTATTTTTTATCATAATAAAGCTATTTACTTCAATTGTCCAATTAATGTTGCAGGAATATATTAACAACTTTGTTAATAAAAACTTACCGAAGATGCAAATTCCAGAGTAAATTGCTTCTTTACATGCTCAGGTAATCTGGAAAATGTGAAGGATAAATGTATAATAGCTATAACAACATTTAGTCATCTGTACATTAAAGGGGCTCTCCTGAAGTTTTGTGACAAGGAACTAGTACTGACTAGATATATTTTTTTCCAAGACATGTGTAACACTTAATGCATGTCTGGACATATAACTTGTGTGCGAAATTTCAGAATAATTAGACTGAAGATTGATGTTACATAAAGAATTATTACATATAGATAGGCATCGGTCAAAATCCATGCTATAGACTATAGTTATGGGCTATGAAAAGCGACCTCCAATTGAAATGACAGTCACATAATACTCATTTTTCATTGTCACGTTCAGCTGAATTGACAATAGATTGCAAAAGATTGACTGTTATAATGGTGATTGACCAATAGTTGATAGTGGAAAATATTAAGGATAAAATATCAATCTGCCTAAAATATAAAAATACTGCCCAACTCTTTATAAATTGAATGCTACAGGTAAATTCTGATGGATATTTACAAAAATTCCTTGGGCTACTGTATCTGAGTTATTTATCGTTCATGCAAAGTAAATTATAAAATTACAAGGAATTATGGCAAAATGTAAACTTCTGTTGACTTCTACCTGTTTACTCACTATATACCCTTTGAAGGACATAATGTGTTACTTTAATATCTTGGTGACTAGGATAACATTATTATTCTATCAAGCTTGGACAGCCTGGTTCTTTTTTAACAATACAGATATTACGAAAAAACTTTCTCTACATTAAGGGTAGATAACTACATGTATCAACATACTACCATATATGCTTAGTAATTATAGTGTCAGTCATCAAATTCAGCACTGGCCTGGTGGCCCATGGCCAGTGAAAATTAGTTTGGGCCAATGAAAATTTTAAGAAAATTTAGTTAAATATATAGTAAAATAAATTCAGAACTGAATTCGGGCTAGTAAATTCAAAATCTTAAATTCATTGACTGTAGTGTGAGTAAACCGAAATGAACAATGGTGATTTTTTAGTAGATGCTCGCTCAAGGAACATTTCTGTAAAATAATAAAAAGAATCTGGGTTTTTTTTTTAACATGGATAATTTAAACATTTAATTTGTTTCCTTTTTATAGGTTTTGTTTATTTTTCAAAATTGCAAAAAGTAACCAGACTAAAATTTTCCTAATTTCAAATTCTGAAAGGAATACTGAGATATTTTTTTTCTCCTGAATTGTATTAAATGCTGTCTTTGCTTTCTTATTTCAACAAAACTTACTCATTAATCTCAGGAATATGGCTGTACTTGAACTGAATTTCTGATAACTGAAGTGGCTCCTGTTTTACAAGATCCTCTGAAAATATAGAAATGAGACTATTATAATAGTGGATCCTTAATTTTCCATTGTTATTTACTTCAAATGGAATAATGTACGTCTTTCACAAATCAAAAAGGCATGGGCCTTTTGACAATACTAAATTTAAATTTGGATGAAAACAATACATCATAAATATTAAACAAGAGGGCCATGATGGCCCCGAGTCGCTCACCAGAAACAACTGCTTTTCAGTGTTGGAATGTCAATATATTCTCGCATAGAATATGTTTAAAAAATAATTTGAAGAAATGCCATGACCTGGGACATTTAAGCTTTAGCTTAGACAGGGCTAATCAAATTAATATGAGCAAACTTGATAAAAGACTACCTAAGACTGCTACAAAGTTTGGTGATCATCTATCAATTATTTCAGTAGGAAATGATGTTTTAAGGTTTTTTCTATTTTTAGCTTTAGTGGCCCCTAAAAGGGGCTAATCAAATTCATATAAGCAAAATTGATAAAAGAGTACCCAAGAATGCTACAGACAGTTTGGTGATCATCCATCAATTGGTTCTGAAGTAGATGTTTAAAGGTTTTTCTATTTTTAGCTTTAGCTGCCCCTAAAAGGGACCAATCAAATAAATGTGAGCAAACTTGATAAAACACTACCCAAGAATGCTACAGACAAAGTTTGGTGATCATCCATCAATTAGTTCTGTAGGTGAAGATGTTTAAAGGTTTTTCTATTTTTAGCCCTAGAGACCCTTAAAAGGGGCCAATTAAATTCATATGAGCAAACTTGATAAAAGACTACACAAGAATGCTACAGACAAAGTTTGGTGATCATCCATCAATTAGTTCTGTAGAAATAGATGTTTAAAGGTTTTTCTATTTTTAGCTTAAGTGGCCCCTAAAAGGGGCCAATCAAATTCATATGAGCAAACTTGATAAAAGACTACCCAAGAATGCTACAGACAAAGTTTGGTGATCATCCATCAATTAGTTCTGTAGGAGAAGGTGTTCAAAGTTTTTTTCTATTTTTAGCCTTAGAGACCCCTAAAAGGGGCCAATCAAAATAATATTAGCAAACTGAATAAAAGACTACCAAAGAATGCTACAGACAAAGTTTGGTGATCATCCATCAATTAGTTCTCTAGAAATAGACATTTAAAAGTATTTTTAGCTTTAGCGGCCCCTACCAGGGGACAATCAAGTTAATATGAGCAAACTTGATAAAACACTACCGAAGAATGCTACAGACAAAGTTTGGTGATCATCCATCAATTAGTTCTGTAGGAGAAGATGTTTAAAGGTTTTTCTATTTTTAGCCCTAGAGACCCCTAAAAGGGGCCAATCAAATTCATATGAGCAAACTTGATAAAACACTACCCAAGAATGCTACAGACAAAGTTTGGTGATCATCCATCAATTAGTTCTGTAGAAATAGATGTTTAAAGGTTTTTCTATTTTTAGCTTTAGTGGCCCCTAAAAGGGGCCAATCAAATTCATATGAGCAAACTTGATAAAAGACTACCCAAGAATGCTACAGACAAAGTTTGGTGATCATCCATCCATTAGTTCTGTAGAAGAAGATGTTTAAAGGTTTTTCTATTTTTAGCCCTACTGACCCCTAAAAGGGGCCAATCAAATTAATATGAGCAAACTTGATAAAAGACTACCCAAGAATGCTACAGACAAAGTTTGGTGATCATCCATCAATTAGTTCTGTAGAAGAAGATGTTTAAAGGTTTTTCTATTTTTAGCTCTGCTGACCCCTAAAAGGGGCCAATTGGAATGACATGAGCAAATTCAAGTGTGACTGTCACAAGGATGCTACAGACCAAATTTGAAGTAAATCTGCCCAGTAGTTTCAGAGAAGAAGACGATTGTTGACGCATGACGACGGACACCGGAGCATCCCCCTTTGATACTAATAGCTCACCCTGAGCCTTCGGCTCTGGTGAGCTAATAAATGGAAATTTAATCAGAATAACAGAACTATACTTTATCAAAGTTAAAGTTTACATGATAATAATGCTATAGCACATAAATATTTGGAAATATTAAATTAAAAATGTTATAAAATTTGAGAAATTCTTTTTCAAGATGAGCAATATTATCACAGATGTTATGATTTGATGAATGAGAGAACATGCAAAAATTTGTCAAAATTACTTATAACCACTCAAAAATTGTTAAATAAATACGAAAATTTATTTGTATTAACTCAAATAATATGTCATATATGACCACCAGCTGCTATATTTTAACTCAAGACTACATACATGTACATTAGTCATGAAAATATTGCATCTGGTGTTCCCTCCATTTAATATATTTCAATCTTACATGCAAAACAAACAAACATCCCTTATGCTTTATTCCAGCTCTAGTGACTTGTAACATTTTTGCTTATAACTTAACACCCACAAACAATTCATTACGAATAACTGCTTAAGTTTGGTTTTTAGTTGGTGTGAATTGAAGGAACTCCACTGAGGTTTCTTGACATGACAGGACTGAAAATAATTTTTCTAGATGATGTAGGTCAAGAACAATAATGTGTGAAAAATTTCAGATCATCTGACCACTCAGTTTTTCCAGAACAATTATTCTAAATGTGGGAAATGACTTGAACTTGAAAAGCGTTGCAACCCATTTCACTCAAACCAGGCTAGGAATAGCATAAAATTCGATCTTCAACTTGTCTCCGAGTATATTGCTTAATTATCTTTTTGTTCTAAGTGACCCATCTGATCTATATCATAATAGTTTCAAATATTTTTGACAGGTTATATGGCCATATAAATATATTGCAACCGTTTATATATGGTCATACAACCTGTCAGGAATATTTATAACAAATTTATCATACAGCAAACTTCCTTTTTTGAGAAAAAGTGAAATTGACAGCAGTATATCTAATGATGGTAAAATTATTTTGTTTTCAAACGCTTACGATCACGTTACTGTTGAAGTTACTCAATGCCACATGACCATGGAGCTAAATATAGATGGAGAAGTAACTGACCTCACACAGCTGTTCCTGGTTTTAACTGGTTTGCAATGATTGCATACATTATAATTCGCTCAAAAGGAAATATGCCAACATATTTCTTTTCCAAAATTCAAACAAAGTTTTGTAAACTTCAGGCATTTATACACTTCAAATACAAACGATAAGTTTGACGTCACTATTATTCAATGAAAAGCGATGTCACAAATGTGCAGTATTATAAGGAATTCAAATCTTATATTTCTAGGCATTTTGGACTTCAGTGGAGTTCCTTTAAAATCCAACAGAATTGCAGATACATGTCACATATTTATTTATTAAAATACTACCTGAATAATCAAAATTGAGGGGCTTTAAATGTGACACATCTATTCTCTTCCTATATCCACGAGTCTGTAGTGGCTGTAGATGTTCCACTGCAAAAGAAATAATAATTCAACAAAACAAGAACGATGACCCCAATTTTTTTTAGCTTAAAATTTTTCTGTTATCATATTTTAACAACATGCCAAGTTTAAAGAAATTTTATAGAACAGTTTTAATTTTGCCTGTATGTCTATATGAAAACTCCCGAAAATGTCCCTAATAAATTATTGCAGACTCCTAAACACATTTTAGTCCAACCAATACAAGAAGAATTTCTGACTTTCTGTTTTTGCTGTTGTTACGCTTTTTTTAGCCAGGATGCACACCAAGCACCTTGTGTCACGGCTCGATAAACAAACTGTAAAATGCTGAAGCCTGAATCTAATTTCTTAATTAACTCGGAATCTTTTGAAAAAATTTAAAACTCTTTCCATTTTTGTAACGTAAACATCTAACTAATTTTTGTTAATTTAAATCAGATATCAATCTTGAGACTGCAGCACTCTCATTGGCGAACTGTGACTAAAACAACAAATCACATTACAACTTTCAAAATTTAACGTGTGATCCTATAAAAAAAAAACGCTTTGGAAATGATTTTCTTGTGTATTGTTTATAATGTGACGCAGAGCACAGGTAAATCTATCCTTATTTTATTAAATCTATATATATAATATAAGCAAGGGATATAAGTTGTGACCTCGCAATACCAGCAGGGTTCGTTAAATGCATTCACATGTGTAAACTGTATAAAATATCCTCTATTCCGTCGAAGTTTATTGTAGAAGTTAATATATGAACAAGTCATTACACAAGTTCTACTACAAACTCTTCATTAAAACCTGTTACATTGCAGGAAATAACTAACATTTCAATATTTACATTGGCTGTCAAATTGTCGTACATTATGCAGGTGTGTTTATGTTTCTTAATTTTCATTGGCTGATGAAAAAACCTGCTATCTGTCCCGGCTATAACCCATCATTATCCGGATTATTACTATTTATTAGCCAATGAAATTGACGGTCACCAGTGTTTTTTTTCACCAAAATATTCGGCGAAATTCGGTCCCATTCCCCCCCTCAAAATAGTGTTTTTTCCCCCCCTCTAAGCCTAAATTTCCCCCTATATGGCAGCCCAAATTTTCCTGCAATGACAGGGCTTTTTTTCACAGGTTGGGGAAGCAGCCCAGCCCCTAATTTTGGGGAAAAATCTCACGGTATATTTGCAAAAGGGGAAGAAAAAACTTGATGTAAATTCAATTTTTGGGGAAAACTGCATGATTTTAAAGAAATTTTCTTTGGGGAAGCAGCCCCATACCGGCCCCTGTTATAGAAGGAAAAATGGCCCTGAATGAATACAAATGTATCACTTTTTTTGCAACTAACTGCTGAAAAATGTTTCATTTTATGCCTGTAAGAGTTACTGTTAAGCAAGGTTGTTTACAAATCGTTCTCTGGTAGGTAAGGGGAGCCGGCGACCATCAAGTTTAACATGCGACACATCGATATTTTAGACCCGTATATTAAGAAAAAGACATATTTTAAACTTGTGTAGCAAGAGTTGCTCCCCTTTTCCACCGCAAAGAAAACAATATAAAATAAGTAATCAAATAAAATTTCCCCTCCTATTGCATTTTTCCCTCTCCAAAGGGCACCGACCCCCTTCCCCCAAAAGTGAAAATAAACACTGGTCACTAATAGAAGTTGGGTTTACGCAAGGAACATACGGCCACATTCAAAATGGAAGCTGAGGACAGAAACTATCAAAACAAACAAAAATTGTTACAATGATTTGTACCAGAAGTTAATGATTGCATCATTGGAGGTGGTATATGATTGATATTTAACCGATTACATGATTAAACTTTTTATATAAGCATATTTTTAATAATATCTTGTCCATGTATCAAAGTGAGTCATTTTTTTTTAAATTATTGATTCTTTCATGAATGTCTAGATTCTTTCATGAATGTCTAACAATCAAAAGAAGAAAAAAGCAGTTATTTACTGCATTCTTTTTACTTTTTCATGAATTGAGCAATTTTGAGTTGTATCCCTTGTTATAATATTAATTATTATATATAGGGCCTAGTGGGAAAAAATGACAGAAGCACCTGTGATGCAAAGTAATTTTTAAGTTCCAAATTTCAGTGACTTTTTGTTTAATTTCCAGATTTTTTTCTATGGCAATTATTGACGTGAAAATCCGTGGAAAAGCTTGGAAAAACATCCCTGCATCTGAATTTTTTTTTTCAATATTATGACAACAAATTCTTACATTAAAACCATAGTTAGTGATATTAACTTTTTTGTAATAGCTTTTATCATGTCATTACATTGATTTCTGTTGATAAAGTGCATGCCTGATAAACCTAGCTTTATCAGTCACCCCAAGCTTTATCAGACACCTCATCAATACACATTTTGACCTTGACGGAACTACTTTTTTCGGGTCATTTCCGGTCTACTGTTTACATTGGATACTACAAATACTACATATTTTGAAACGATAAAAATAAAACATTTTAAAAACACAAAACAAATTGTTACTGTTTTATTTTTATTTTGTTGTATTGCTTCACACTTTTAATAAATTATCAGTCCGCAATCCATCCACTGGACCATCAGCTACAGTTACACCGTCAGATTCTCCATCGCCTTTTACAGATCAAACTGGCACTGTTACAAATAAGTCATTAGAGTCCATTTCCATATCTCATTCTGCAGTTTCAACGGAGTCACATGGCCAAATGAATCCTGGCCAAATCAGTTACCCCACCCACTCATCACAGCAGATTGCTTTATCCAGCAACAGCTTAAATTCCATATTTTATGGCGCAGTATTGCATGTCAACAACCTGAATGTTTATTCAAGTCGGTAAATTCACTTTAAAAAATATAAACACTTGACGATGAACTGGCAAACTTAAAATTTCCATTTTCCGTGAAATCAGCTGTTCAACACTGTTCAACGACATTTTCAAATCTTGTTTACTTTGTGTTTTCTCATATCCTGTTCATTAATGTAACACTGATATGTCTCATGAAACGCTTGATATTGAATAAAAACACGTAATCTTATTTTGTGAATTGATAAATCCATTTAACCCAGACATTTTATCCAATTTTCATCTATCGATTTCGCTCGTTCAACGTTCGTAGTCCATACGTCGGTAAATTCAAGATGGCGACATGAAACCAAAATATCAAAAATATGCGAAATTTGCGAAATGAAATAAAAAGAATGGAATATTTTTTCCTGCTACTGGGTTGGAAATATTTAACTGATAAACTTTGAATCGAATAGAAATTTTGAATATGAACGCGTCACTTACAATTAACTAAAACATTCGGGACTATTTCTTTTTGATTTGACATTTCACATATTATTGCGTGCCGTCTGAACACCAGAGGTTCTGGATAGGGTTTTGCTTCAATTAAAATATAAAAAAATCAAACAACAATTGAAATTGACAACATGATAAATAGAATACCAAACAAGTGTCTGATATTATAAAATTTATCAGGCTCGGCACGAAAAAAAATGAAGAGCTCGGCAGAGCCTCGCCCTTCATTTTTTTTCTTAGCCTTGCCTGATAAATTTTATAATATCAGACACTAGCATGGTATTCTCTATTTATCGATACCAATGATAGCTGTTTACATTTTAGAGTCTGCAATCTTTTATTGAGATCATTTGATTGAAAATGTTATTTTCTTAAATTCATTTATGGGCGAATCGTCTGAAGGGCGAATCGTTATCAATTCGTAACGGAGTGTTAGTGTTATCATTGAATTCTTTACCTTTAAAATTAATTACTGTGTAGTTAATTGGTACATATAAACGATGAAGTATTGCAGGTGAGTTTACTAATGTCAAAAACTGACATAGTTTAGGTCTTAAAATATTCGAAAAGGCCATCAATGTTTTACTGTTTTCATCAAGGTTAAAAAGCGCTTGAAATGAAATGCATTGTGGGATTACATTATGTTGACCCGGAAGTGAAACCCCTAGCAACATACGGCGTACTCGATCATCCGGGCTATTCTCATTTGGTTGCTTGACTACACCAAACAGTTGTAACTTCCATGTTGTTTACAATTCCGATATAACTTAGTTTTAGTGGAAAATCTCTTTAAATAAATTAAAGATAAGTAAGTAAAGATGTCGACGGCAGTGCAACAATGCAAAGGCAAAAAAGATTTCGGTTATTCTAAAGTGAAATCACCAGAACAAGTATTGAAAGGATTCACAATTCAATCAGTTCAAAAACATGCACAGGGAAAGGTATAATTGTTTTTGATTTTTAGTTTGTTTAACAATGGCGTTTATACTTACATATACTTATTATTCATGCAGAAATACTTGTCAGTTTTGTAGAAATATACATATTTCAATAACTACTGAAATTCTGTCCTTAATAATTAAGGTATTGGACAGATCTTTACATTGCTGTGGCAGTAACTTGTGAAGGTTCAACATATTCAACCAGATCTATTTCATTTATTCTTACCATCAACAATTTTTCATATCTGAAAACCTACATTTGTAGATATTAATGGATATCATATCCTATTAGAGAATACATCGGGTTTCGTGGACATTTTGTTCTTCATTTTCATTAAAAGTTGACCGTTGTCCATACTTTCATTATTTTTTTTCACAAGCTGTTTAAAGTTTATGATGTCTCAGTATTTATTAGCTGGGTTTATGATAATTTTATCGTTATTTAGGATTTTATTTTAATTTGGTGTAAAAGATAGATTCTTACATGTTTCATAATATTCCCCTATCACACAGATAGGGCACTGCCACAGTCAAATGCATTATTATATGATCATATATGCACAACATACGTATATATACATCATTATGATGTCAGATACATGTATGACATCAATAAACCAGATGGTGTCAGGAAAATTGCTTGTACGCTCAATGTAGTTCAACATATTTTCATCCAGTCTCTTTATATGAACATGTTAGAATGGCAATAGATAATAATTTTTCCTACATTATAGTATAATAATGCACAGTTTTTTATCTTTCAAAAGCTTTGTGATTAATCACTCAAGCCTATCGACCTTTATGATAATATTTCTATGCATTTGAACTTAAACAGTGCATATTTCTACAACAATGCACTGGAATTGATATTTATTTCCTAAGCTTATCATTAATATGTATACTGTTCGAATGATTTTACACTGAACTTGTTAAAAATGGTTATTAACGTTCCCATCCTTGAATTTTTGTAAAATTGCTCCCATGATTAGTTATAGATGTTGAAATGGCTTGTGAGATTCTCTTTTGACTTCCACAATCCACAAAATTTTAATTTAAATCCTGTCAAATAAACTAATTAAAAATCCTTTGGTACATATTAAAATGATTTTTGTTAATATTTATTACTTAAAATTCATTGATTTACTAAAAAGACAATGATAACTTAATAATTATGGTCAATTTCAAAGTAAAATGTAGAATTTAATGTAAATTCTTACTAATTAAAAGAAAGATTCCTTGCATTAAATCTGTTAAAAGTGCTGTTGTGACAGTTAAATGAATTGATAATCTGCCCTTTGAGACAGATAATTTGATTGAATGGTATTCGATCTCAAGTTTTAAAAATAATTAAAAAGAAGTTAATTTCATTAGTTAATTTAAAAAGTTTGTAGTGTTTAGATAGAAGAAAAATGAGTTTCTTATTTAAAATCCATTATATTTATATTATAGATTGAGAATCCACCAAAAGCTGGAGCTTTCTCAGAAAGAGAGACGACTAAAACTGCCTTCAGAAAGTTTTATGAAAGAGGAGATTTCCCAATAGCACTTGAACACGATACAAAGGGAAACAAAATTGCATGGAAGGTTTGTCATCAAGACATTTATTATTTCACGTATATGTCCATAGAAATGTTAGTCATTATTCAATGGACATTAGTTAAAGACTTATTATTGCAACTGAATTTGAATCTGCAAGTTTTAGCACATAAATCATGATTGTATCTCTTTTTTTCTATTTCTTTTTTTGGTCATTGATATCACTTAGAAATATCACAGATATACAGTCTTCTTCTTTTTTTATTCTTGGTGACTAGTTTACCATTACTGACTTGTTTAAAAACTGGTTTAGAACTTTAGATAATTGCAATTGAAAATATTTCTTATACAGGTTGAAATTGAAAAGTTAGATTATCATCATTATCTGCCCCTGTTCTTTGATGGACTCTGTGAAACGGTACACCCTTATGAGTTCTTTGCCAGACAAGGAGTTCACGATATGTTGGAGCACGGAGGTTCAAAAATCCTGCCAGTCATTCCACAGCTTATCATTCCTATCAAAAGTAAGTCAAAATATGTTGTTATTTTGTTGTTGTTGCTGTTAACCTCAATCAATACTAAATATATTTAAGATCTTCTGTGAAATTGGCACAACTTAGTGACCAAACCTTTTTTTATGAATTTTTAAAAAGAAACTGTAGCTGTAATATGTGAAGAATACTTTCAATGGGTTTCATTCATGCTTTAGATTAAATAAAAGACAAAAGATGTACTAATGATTTCTATTACAAAGGGAGATAATTATAAAGAATTTCTTACCTTTGTTAAAGGTATATCAGTAATATTTATGGGTATATTCTATTGCTACCATCAGGCTAAGGGTTTAATTTTACCTGAAATTTGTTGTAATTCATTTACTCATCGAGATGCATGAACATTTAGACCATTCTCTAGTCTGCAAGTGCGCATATTTATTTTCAATTTGCTTTACTGTAGTGTAAAAATGACTGTTTACACCCACATAACATATTTCCCTTTCCTTATTACAGATGCTCTGAACAGTAGAAAAGAGAATGTTATATGCACAACACTAAAAGTGTTGCAACATTTGGTAATATCAGCAGATATGGTTGGAGAGGCCCTGGTTCCATATTACAGACAAATCCTGCCCATCCTCAATATCTTCAAAAATAAGAACTGTAAGTGTCATAAAGCATATTTTAATACCATATCCTCCACAGCTTCAATTGTCTTTTTGATTTTATTGTAATTACAGGATTATGTTTGTTTTTCTCGCTCAAATTTTAGTGTTAAGCAGTGTATTTTATGTTTTCATTAGTAGTGATATGAAACTGAGAAAAAGATAAACAACATGTACGTTTGTATAATCATGCACAACCAATTTTATATAGCTAATCTTTCTTGGTATGAGTTATCCACTCATGAAGAATGAAAATAAATTTGAAGAAACAAAAGGTCATATCCTTTTGAATAAGTAATTGAAATCACAAATTTGGCTAATATTGTCTGTTGATGTATTAGCTAAGTGTACTAGTGCATGGACTGAAAAAAAATGTTATTTTCTTTCTTACAGTGAATTCAGGTGATGGAATCGATTACAGCCAACAAAAAAGACAAAATATTGGTGACCTTATTCAGGAAACGCTAGAAGCCTTTGAGAAACATGGCGGTGAAGATGCTTTCATAAACATTAAATACATGGTTCCTACATATGAATCTTGTATGTTAAATTGAGAATGACAACAATCTTATAGACAATAATTTCCTTTGAAGAAACATTTTTTTCCTCTCCATTTTTTTGGCCTGAATAAAGAATTAATATGTTATTACTAAAGTAATTTTTTTTCCCCGAAGAAAAGAGAACAACTAAAATTCAATCATGCGTTTGTTATTTGTTAGTAACATCCGGTTCTACAGGTGGTATTTTATCTTTAAATGAGTGAAGCATTATTTTTAAACTGGCCAAAAAAAACAAACAAACCCAAAGTATTGTTATGTGTAATAACTATTTAGAATAAGAATATTTTTATTTATCTTTTAAGATTATTTTTTATATATATTTCTGCTCATTTGAACAAATCGCAGCCATGAAGTGTTTTATATACAAGATGTATGTTTATCAGCCAAATTCAAAGTGAATGGATTACTAAATTACTGGAGTTTTGAATGCTTTTTGAAATAGATTTACGGTGAAATAATACACAGTTACATTTCCAGTGTGTGATTATTTTGAAATGTGTTGACTGTATTCTTTACATAGGCTGGTAAACTGAAACGGCTATTTATTTTTATTGTTTCTAAACACATGTTTTTTGTACTGATCACTATTGTTTAATGTATAGTGTTTTCATCTTCTTCATGTATATATGTTGGATGCAGTTGATAGAGAATGGACTGCTTGAATGAGTGCATTTATTCTATTTTTATCATATAAAATAATTGACTTGTTACTATGCGCACCGGAAAAAGAGTACGGGAAATGCACAAAATCAGATGATATCCTAAAAAATCTTTCTTTCATGTGATGGGCAGATTAGCGTGAATTGTAGTTAGCACTACATGTATGGAAGTTAGTAAGACATCATAAAAAGAGATTTGTACATAAAAATTAAGTGTGTAAAGATCTACAAACTTATCTGTGATAACTGTGTAAATGTGAATTTTATGTTACACATTTGTTAATTGACTATGTTTTTGCTGCATATTGTTTTTTTTTACATTTTAAAAATTGGGATTACCACTTTTGATATGAAACAATTTAAAAAATTTAATTTTCAATAACGGTCTTAATTATGGGGGTTAAAATAAAAAAATACCATCTTATTTTTTTGAGTTTTTCTTTTTAATTTTTAATGTTTAAAAAAGTTTTTTTTAAAAAAAGGGGAAAAAATTTTACACATGTTTGTTTTGGTAAAACCAAAGTTCTCAGAGGGTTTTTTACTTTAAGATTTGGATTATTTTAAAAACTGCGCAAAAAACCCTTGTTTGGAAAAATTTTAGATTAACCATTTTTTTTCCAGATATTTATTAATTTTTCAAAAAATGACCAAATTAAAAATACAATGTTTTTCACCAAATAAAAAATGAAATAAATTTAATTAAATGTTTTTAAATTTAAAACGGGGTATTTTCTTTTGATTTTTAAAATTTTCCATTTTAAATGCTCACTTGATTTAAGGTTTAAATTTTTTTGTCTGATCACAAGTTGTAAGGCATCCCGTATTTTTTCTTTTAAAACGCTTATTTTTATTCTTTTTTTCAAAAATATTTCAATCAAGAAAATACATAAACGAGACAAAATTTTCAGTTTGGGAGATAAATTTTATTTTTTAACATTTTCACCTGGTGGTGTCAAAAGGATTTGTTTTTTGGGTCCTCCTTCGGTGGGGGAAAAAATATTACATAAGGGTTTGTTAAATTTTCAAAAATAATTTTTAAAAAAAAAAAATTGATTATTGTTAATTTTTATCAATTTGACCCAAATTACTAAATAATAATTTTATCTTTATCGAAAAAATTTCATGTAAAAATGTATTTGTGTTTGGGAGGGGCGGGTAAATTGACCCCCCCCGGGTTTTTAAATTAGCTTTCAAAAATTTTTTTTCCCCCCTAATTTTTCCCCAAATCTTTTTTCTCTTAGATAAGGCCCTTTCAAAATTGTAAATGAAAAAAATAGGAAACGATATATAAATTGAAAATTTAATTAAATGGGTTAAAACTTTATGTCAAACTTTTTCTAAAAAAAATGGATAATTTCGGTAAACCCATAGAGGCCTCTTTTTAAGAGGGTTTATATATGTTTTGACTGTGGGATTTTAAATTTCCTATTTTTTTTTGGAGCTAATTTGACTTAAAATTAAAATTTTTTGGGATGGGAAAATAAAAAATAATTTAAAAAAAAAATTGATTTTTTAGGGGACTGCTTGTTTTGCCGTATAGGTCTTTGGACCTCAGTGGAGCTCCTTTAATAAGAAATAAATATATAATATTATAGTCACGAAGATCATAGGCATAAGCGATTTTAACAAAGCATCCTCAAAGCTTTGTGGAGAAAGAGTGGTGCAGGGGTAGAGCATTGGACTCCTAATCCTTAGGTTGTAGGTTGAAATCCCACTTGTAGTGAGATTCTCCTTTAACTTCAGCAACCCACAATGTTGGCTCAAATATGGCACCCGAAGCAGTAATTTTTTGTGATTTTAACCCCATGTTGATACCAAAAAAAGGGGATTTTTGCCTTTAATAGGAAATAAGAAAAAAAACCGGGGTTTGCACTATCATATGATAGTGCAAGAAAAATGAATATGCAGTTAAACAATGAATAGAAAAAATGTTTAGCGGTGAAGTAATTTTCTAGAGATGTGATTTTATGTGACAGTCAACCTTTACTAAGTTTTTGTGTATATATATGTCATGACTGCTTGAAAGCTAAGTCTTTGTTGAAGAAGAAAAACTGGGACAGTATTTGACATTGAAATCGAACTCTGGTAACAGCCTACTGTATTATATAACTGCATATCTGAATAATTCATAATTTCAAGATATACAATCATGTATAAATGGAAATATAACATTTATGAAATTATAAGTTCATTTTCTGAAATAGTTTTGCTTTTAAGCTTGATAAGCTATTGTAAATTTGCAAATAGTTTTGGTTGTCATATTGTGGTGATTTATCATGTATCAGAGGTCTATGTTACTCAGGAATTTAATTACAAGGACATCAATTTGTATACCTGAAAATTTGAAACTATAATGATATATACTAGTATAGTGCTATGTAAACTTACTGGCCTTATATTTATAATATCTAATCAGACAGGTCTTTTGAAAAGAACAGTTCATGTCAGCGCAATACAATAACATTTTGCTGAATGTTTAATGGAATATAAATTGTATGTCTGTCTGTCTGTCTGTGTTCAATCAACCTGTTGAAATGAAAAGTGATATGTAAAACGAATACATTCAAAGGTTTGAAATGTGCATGCTCAGCAACTTTATATATTCTGTCAAGGACTAAAATTGTTCATATAAAATGATTTTAACTTTATAATATTTCCTCTATTGGTCCATATCTGTCTGAAAATTAACTAATTGTCTTGTGATCATTAGAATCATTGTGTAGACACTTGGTTAAGACACACAAAAAAGATACTTTGCTCAAACAACAAAACTTACCAGTCATAAATCATTGAAGATCTATGTCTAAACGTTTTTGCAGCAAAAATTTATTTGCCACTTTCTCCCTAAGATCATTTAAGCTGATTAGGAATATATTATATCTAAAATTTCTTTTAAAAAGTTCAGGGATATATTGCTTTAACATTATAAGTCCATGGAACTACTCTTAAATAGATAATTCAATGACTTTAATGGAAAATATGATTGTACTATGTAATTGTGAATATTTGCCACATTGATTAAGGAAGCTAGGAAAAGTTTAAGTTGCTGTTAATATCCCTTATAATCCCAAAATGCAATTATGTTTGCCACCACCATATATTTAGGCTAGCCAGTTTGTCCATGCAGTATGACCAGGTTCTATATTGCTAGCTGATTAATTTCAGTATTTGAAATTACCTGCAACAAATATTATAGGGTGTTGTGTTTAAATGAACTAAGATTTTAAGAAAGGTAAAATATTCACAATTTGATAAATAATTTGCATGTTATATGCAATTAATGACTGTTTTTGCAGTATTTATCACCATATTTCTACCGAGTATAAACACAGTAAGGGCTATTTTTTAAATATTCTGACCTATTTTGGGAAATTCTCGTAGATTAAAGTGCAGTTTTTCAGTATGTAAATAATACTTTCTTTGTTCACTTGACAATATTTTATTTACTTTTTAATACATTTTTAAAAAATTCATGAAAATTACCATGAACCTGGAGGCATGCTGCTTTAAGTGACAGTGAGTAGAAGTGCAGGTTGACCTGTCACTAAACACATGTTTAATAATTATTTTTGTCACACCAACTAAGAGTTAAAAAGACTTATGCCCAGAGTTGTTCAACAATGAAAAAAGTTAATAAAAACATACACCGATACAATATTCTTATCTGCAAACCTTAAGCCTTCTCTTAGGGTTAACAAAGTGGATTATTCCTTGCCACCATGACAGTATAAACAAATTATTATTTTTAATAGCTTCATTTATTGCTGGAAAGAAAGCATGCCAACTTTTTCTTTTTACTATTTTTCAGGACGTTGTATTTGTAAATATTGAATAATGAAAATAAAAAGTATAACAATAAAAATGTTTTTTTTTCTTCATTAAAGTACTGCATAACTGATTTAAATAAACTAACCATATACATGTAATATTCATTTTTGGAATTAAATATTTAATGTCAATATTTTTTTTTAAGTTTTTTTTTCTTTCTCGTGAATAGGCACTTAAGAGAAGTCTATAAAAGTTGATAGCTTGTAAATATATCGGTTTCACAGTTAACAGTTCTCAATCACAGAGTTATAACAGTTTATGTCATATGTATTATTATCTTTACCTTGACAGCATTGACCGCATTTCAGTCGTAATATCTATACTGTAATAAACATACTAATTTAACTACTTTCACAGTTTTAGTTTTTTAACAATGCATACATTTTTTTTGTATGATTAACTGATATTATTGATTCAATGTTATTTTTGATAACAAATTAAAGCGTAAATTTTTTACTTTTAATATAATTGATTGGGTTTGAAGTCAGGATTACTTTCCTGCTGCCCAGGCTAATTTACTATATGTTTCTTCTTATACACTATTCTAAGATTCAAACCCACAGCAGCTATGGATGAGTGATTAAAATGGATATGTTTACTCTTTTAGCAACAGGATTCAGAGGTTGAATCACATTTTAATAGTAGAAAGA